ATCGAAGTTTCGAATATTTGAAGTCAACTAATACATTAAGATATAAGCTTTCAAAGACCAACCTAATTTATCACCTGTATTGGTGACTTTTATTTCCTTCGAATTAATTGTATTTTTATGGACAAAAATGTGTCCGACATAAAGTACGTTTGTTTTTTTATACTTGTAATGATATTAATTAGTTGGCATTTAATTAGTTCACAGTTATAGTAAAAACGATTAATTTTGCAAAATGTGTTATTGTCTTTTATCTTGTTAATACATTAGTTGACTTCGAATATTCGAAACTTCGAATCTTCGAAAAATTCGAAAACTTCAATTCTCGAATAATTTCTACGAAGCTAAGAATCTTCGAAGATTCGAAGCTTCGAAATTGAGAATCTTCGAAGAAAAATTTCAGCTCTAGTTCCTACCTATCCACTTTTCTATCTACCCGCATTTCAACTTAATTAATTTACAAGTCTTTCGTTAAAACGCGATTTATAAAAGGTCCGATTTTGGGTTATAGCGCGCGCGCGATTTAAGATTTAATCTGATCAATCTCGCGACATATGCGAGAATATATGTATAGAGAAGAATAACCCACCCGAGTTTTGACAAATAAAAAGAAATCAAGTTATTTCAAGTGGCCAATATTGACCACTTGTCTCGTCGTATCTAGTCTTCTTTCGTTGGGCCAGATTGGACGTACCTTTCGTTGCTCCTGGCCATACAGTCTGGTCATTTTGACCAGAGATCAGGAAGGGAGAAAACTCCTTCCATAGTCGGTTATCGTCACCGACAGATGTTACGTACGATTTGAATTATATGCGAGCGTCGATCGTATCGAAAAACGCGCGACTAAGTACGAGAAGTTAATTGAAAAAGAATTTTAAGTCGAAAAAATTCACTGCATGAAACTAATTAAATATATTTCTGCTTCCGTTATCTACTCGAGAGTATTGACCGTCTCGATCTTTGAATTCAAAATTCAAGTCTATGCAGAGAAAACATTTTACTTCCCGTTATATCAATTTTAATTATTCCGCGATAAATTAACATTTCTTATGTGGATTAAATTAAAAAGTACTAATATCATGGAAATGTTTTTAAAAACCGGATCGCGAAACTCGAACGCGTAAACCGATCGCGGATGTATGAAGATGCGTATAATCCCAGATAGCACACATAGTTCTATGAATATTCTTCTGGAGTGCAAATATTTTTAATTTCAGAATATTTCAATCGAATATTCTATAAATATATATAGATTATTTATACAATTAGAAATTATATATTCATAACGTACATATTGTATATTCAAATTCAGAATAATTTTTTAATATTAATCGAGTTTATGTATTGCACATTGTTTATTGTGTAATACACTTATCTCATGCAAAAGGCAGTGAAACCTGTGATCATATCGTGTATAACCGACACGCTATATTCGATAGATTATGCTGTTCACATTCGAAAAAGATTTATAGTAGTGCCAGTCGAATATTCTACGAACATGAGATAAATATATAAGAATGGCCTATGGAATGTTCCACATATTCTTGAAAATATTCTTAAAATGTTCATAGAAGTGTCTTGTGCTATCTGGGATAGTGCATGTTGTTCATGCGACACGCAACTTGAAAGTGTCGCGAAATATATCGAATAAATGACGTGAGATCCAGAATTAAAGGACTTTCTCGCATGATAGAGTGTGATATTGTAACTGGATATTTTAGGTAATCAATCGACAAAACATTTAGAATCTCACGTCATATATTATTTCACTTTACATGTCGATAGGTTGATTAAAAATGGATAGGTCACAAATGAGTAGCTCGATAAATTATACATCAATAAATCATTCGCGTAATTTCTGCGATGTGGTACAATGATTCCCGACATGGAAAATGAGCTCAATGTACTCTGATTTGTGGAGCTCCATGAAGTCAAACGAATGTGAAAGAAAGTTCAAAAAAACCTGTTGAACGTCAAAGACCCCGACCACACCTCTCTTCGATAGATTAAATGTATCAAATGGACTATAAAATTACACTGTAACCTGTCCACTTTCAGGTAACGATTCTACAGATTGCACCAATCTAGGATCTACGTTCTAGGATCTACGTTCTACGATCTACGAATGTAGATTCGTTACCTTAGTAAAACAACTTCTAACTCACCGAACCGATGCGCAGCAGCGGAGTTGGCTACGTTGATTCTGTAACGAATATAAAATTCACATTAAAGTAACGATCAAGAAAATGAACACTGCAAGAATGTAATTCTTATGCGAATCCAACTTTTTCGGTTAGACGTTTACATGATTATCACGCGAGAGATTTTCCGCAAAAGATCCTCACCCCAGTGAGAAATGATTCGTCGATCGACGCCGAAATGATGTCGAATCGACGTCGATCGACGAATCCTTTCTCACTGGGACGAGAGTAAAATTTGAGGAAGTTTTCTTTTACTTTTCTTTACTTTTCGTTCTCTATAAATTATTATTTCGAAATTACGAAATTGTGAAACAAACGACTCAATAAACCGGGGAAAAAGATTAATTTTACGCAAAATAAGAAATAACATTTACCTTAAAGTTGCTCCGCCGGCGCCTGATGCCTTTTCCAGGCCTCCTCCTCCTCTCAGGCTGTTCTCCAACGCACTCGCGAAAACACAAAGATCGTTCGCGCGATTTTACACTCCCGTTTGCAAGTGCCCATCTCCAACGGAGATTTAAATCCGAAGCCTTAAGAAATTGACCAATCACGGTCAAGCACGAGTGGAATACGCGACTGCGATTAGTTGTGGATGGGCACTTAAGCTCATGTAAACCGTATTCTGTCAAGCTCGCCTCCGCTTCGAGTGGACTGTGTCCATCGACAGGAACGGACACTTGACGAATACATGTTCAAATGGGCTTGGAAAAGTCTTCAATTCGATTGCTTAAACGGCACTCCCGAACGCGACGCGACACGACGAACCGCCGCGCGCGATTGCGATTCGTTTAAATATGCGACTTGTATTACACTTAAAATCACGCGTGATATTCGTCTCGACAAATCACCGTATCGAGACGATCGCGTTGCTCAGAGGAGATGTTCGAGATTCTCACAGGAAATAATCGCGTTTACGAGGAGCGAAAACACGCGGAACGACCGCCTCGGTTCGAGTCGAACCTTCGACTGAGCCGCGCCGACTGGTAGACTGTTTTTCACCGAGCTGTTTACGGCGCTCGGTCTATAGCACTACGTAATTTCTCGGAATTCGACGCTCGGTCGACGGCGCTCGGCGAAAAAAAGTCACGCCGTACGCGGGATTGTTTACGCGGCGACAGTCGAACGTGTTAGCGGCCCGCGTCGCCCCGCATATCGTATTAATTATTCGACTTTCTTAAACAATGTGGCATCACTGAAACTAAGTTTGTAAATCTAATAAAAATTATTAGGGAGCAACACACATACCACATGTACTGTATGTGTGTGTTGCTCACTATTATTTCTTGCAGATAAACTACCAGATCCATGCACGTGATTGGCTAAAACTTGAAATTAACCTCCGGATAATTTTATCGGGAAGTGAAAAAATCGGCCATAAAACTTGAGATTAACCTCCGGATAATTTTATCGGGAAGTGAAAAAATCGGCCATTAGCCAATCACGTGCATGGATCCGGTAGTTTATCTCCTGGTTAACTTTAACCGCAACATAACTGGATGTGAAGAAATCGGGCATAAAGCCCGCTGCAGACGATGCTATTTTTCCTGCTGGATTGCTTGTGATTTAGTAAATTACTATCATTGCACCACTCAGCATTCAGGATTCCTAGTAATTTACTAAATTGCAAGCAATCCAGCAGGAAAAATAGCATCGTCTGCAGCGGGCTTAAGATAATTTTGAAATAAGAATTGACTATGAATACCGGCCTTTACTCGCTATAGTACTTTGCGATGACAGCGACACGCCGGTGACACGATCGTGCACTAAAAATGGTTTAAATTTTGGCGCCCTCCGCCCCTTCCGAAAATTACCTGAATTCAGACCTGGAGTCTCGAGATAGGTTAGGTTCGTTGAGGTTAGAAGTTCCGAGCTAGAGAGATCGGGGATTCCGTATCCATATGATATTGAAAGCTGGTAAAAGAACATTAAAGTGAAACGTCTAAAAGCTATCTAGACCTTTCTAAGAGAAATTAGCATTGTAATATGATAAAAAATAATATAAAAGACACGGTAACAATCGCGACGAAGGAGTCGCACGGGAGCACACGAGGTCAGCCGTCTGGACCTTCCTGAGAGAAATTAGCATTGTAGTAAAGAGTAATATGAAATACACAGTAACAATTGCGAAAGAGAAGTCGCGCGAGAGCACACGAGGTCATTAGTGTCCAGAGAGAAGCAGAGGACTTGAGGAATTTTAAAAACTCGAGCTACACTCGACGGCGCGTTAAATATATTCGTTACAGAAAGATTAATTTCATTATAGGTAAATTAACGAGAAACCTGACATTTCCGCGAGGAGGATAAAACGCTAAGAATATCGAGGATTTACTTGATCCCGTCGAGACTGTTGTGCTAGAAAGATGCCGACTATTGGAGTAAAACGCGACTTGCTGTTTAAAGCGTTGGGCAAAACATATTGTAAGTTACATATATCTTTCACTTATACTGCCATAGTATCAGTAAAAGTGGCTTATGTATCATAAATGTATAAACTATTATGTGTATGTGTGACGTATGGATTGCATCATCCCATGCGAGGTCTGTAATCGGAGCCCCTGCATTGTATTTATTATCTGTTGACATTACGACTACCAGCTTGCTGCTTTGCGGTGCACGAAGTCTATTGGTTTACTGTTAAGCTTGCCTTTCCGACTTTGCAACTCTGTTCTAGCTGACGACGAGTTCCAAGTGTTGTGCTTCAAGTTTGGTTTGGAGCTGGACGAAGTGGTGAGCATTAAGCTCTTAATCGTCCAATAATTCTTGCATTTGCATTAAACTTTACGATAGTTACTTGATCTTTTGCAAATAGACCACGGAGAAGCAGATGATAGCGAAAGAACAAGGTTCTGACCATGGCGTGGACGCCTCTGAGGAAGTTATATACAAGATCGATGTACCCGCCAACAGATATGATCTCTTGTGTCTGGAGGGCCTGAGCACTGGTCTGCTTATATTCTTGAACAAGTAAATACATTTTAGATTTTTATGGTTTAGGTAACAAGTGGTAGAAGTTGTTAAGTATAATATTCAGATCCAACATATAAAATTTATTAACTGGTTTTTCTAAACAGGATACCTACTCCACGTTACAAGGCAATAAGACCAACGGCGGGAATGGAGAGAATTACAATGAGCCCGGAGGTATGCATAATATTTATGAAAAATATATGTTTCATTTGGCACAAGAAATAATTGATCTTGTTGCGCTTCAGTGCTTAAAAGTAAGGGAACACATAGTCGCTGCGATTTTGAGAAACGTTACCTTGACACAAGAGTCTTACAACAACTTCATCGACCTTCAAGACAAGCTGCATCAGAATATAGGAAGAAAACGCAGTCTAGTCTCTATCGGCACTCACGACCTGGACACAGTTAAAGGCCCGTTCCTGTACGACGCCAGACCACCATCGGAGATACGTTTCAAACCGCTTAATCAAGACAAAGAATATACAGGAGCAGAAATCATGCAGCTGTATGCAGTAAGTATACGTATCTCACCATGTTAGTTCTGTAAGTAATTTTGTGCAAAAGAGGAAATTCTTTGTAATCTCTGTAACCGTATGTCTCTAATGCTTGCAGACGCATGCACAGCTCAAACAATATTTACCCATCATTAAAGACAGTCCCGTTTATCCGGTGATATACGATAGTAATGGAGTTGTTCTATCTCTCCCTCCTATCATCAATGGCGATCATTCCAAGATTACACTCGATACAAAAAATATTTTCATCGAATGTACAGCGACTGATCTTACGAAGGTACACATTGGTATAATTCTGATTTAGTTTTATTTGCAGGCGATCTTGTTAAGAATGATTTGAAAGTGTAAGGCGCAAATAATTAATATCACTAATATATAAGGTAAAATATTTTATCACGAATTATTACAAGTTATCACAAATAACCTGCAGGCGAAGATAGTGGTGGACACCATAGTCTGTGCTTTCAGTCAGTATTGCAAGACGAAGTACACCGCCGAAATTGTGGAAGTAATATATCCCACTCTTCAATCCGATGTATCTCAAACTTTCTATTACCCAGAATTGAAATATCGAACGGAAGAAGTCAATTCTAACAAAGCGATTAGTTATATTGGTATTAAGTGCGTAATCAAATATTTTCTACGATGCGTGCAATAATAATTGCAGATGACAAAGTAGTCGGTTAAAAACATTCTCGCGGTATCCTCGTGTATGCAGGCAAACGCCGGGTCAAGTCGCGGAGCTCTTGTCAAAGATGTCTTTAAAATCCAAGGTGAAAGACAAGGATATGTTAATGGTGGAAATACCACCAACGAGGCACGATGTGATACACACTTGTGATATTTATGAGGACATCGCCATCGCCTACGGATATAACGAAATAGAGAAGATAGTACCAAATATATCGACCATCGCGGCAGAGGTAAATGTTCTGCGGCTGAATACGATTTCGTACATTGCTGTACAACTTATGTGCGTGTGTGCATTGCAGTTCCCACTCAACAAGCTTACCGACCATTTACGATCAGAACTAGCCCAAGCGGGATTCACCGAGGCACTGACCTTCTCTCTGGTGTGTTTCGAGTAACTCTTTTTCATCTTTGAGAGTACACTGTCTTTGAAAATCGCGTTCTAATTTACGTCTAATTACTTTACAGTGTTCGCGTGAGGATGTAGCTGACAAATTGGGACACAAGATAGAGGACGTACCGGCAGTTCACATATCCAATCCAAAAACTTTGGAGTTCCAGGTGAATCGAGTGACACGTTAAGTCTACACTGTCTCATTAACGTCGCCGGAAACGTACAATCAGGACTGTCCAGTTCTACTTTTAACTTCTCCTTCACCTCTGCCCATTCATTCAAACGACATATGTTTCACGTGGCACAAAGAATGTTGTTAGGCGCGTAATTAATTTAGCGTAGAGAACAGAAGATACTAAATATTTTATATGCAATTTATATGCAATAAGTAGTCAATATTCTAACTACTTCATACTTGCTACTTGCGAGAGGACAGTGCGTAAAGAGAAATTAAATTTACAGAATTTAAGTGGTTAAGAATTGGAAGATAAAGATTTTAACAGTACGAAAGTTGAAAGACGGAACGAGAATATTGGAATATTTTAGATTGCAGTCGTTTAAATTGAAACGTGTAAATTATTTTAACAAGTGTAAAATTGCCGCAGGTCGCGCGCACCACGCTTTTATCGGGATTACTCAAGACGATAGCTGCGAATAAGAAAATGCCTTTGCCTCACAAGCTGTTCGAAGTTTCCGACGTTGTGCTGCGAGACGACACGGCGGAGGTCGGTGCGCGCAACAATCGCCGTTTATGCGCGGTATACGGTAATAAGTCTGCTGGTTTCGAGGTAATTCACGGCCTGATAGACCGAGTGTTACTACTGCTGGAGGTACCCTGGAGCGTTAACAAAGACGAGGATGGATATTACCTGCGCGCAGCCGATGGTAAGATGCACGGCTGCCAGAGCATATCGATCGAATAACAACGGGATATAAAATTTGCGCGATAAGATCGAAACGATGGGGTACAAAATTTACGAAATAAGATGTCGAACGACGTAAGAATTAACCGCTCGTACTTTGCAGATCCGATGTTTTTCCCCCAACGATGCGCCGAAATTGTCTGCTACGGCAAGGCGATAGGAAAGACGGGGGTTTTACATCCCGACGTACTCGCCAAGTTCGAATTGAACTTCCCGTGTTCCGCGATGGAGATCGACATCGAACCGTTCTTGTAATAGAAGCGAACGGGGGTGTAAATGACGGAGTCAAGCGATGACACATCTGCCGAAGTCAAGGTGTAGCTTCTGCCACGAGTTGAATTCGTGTCCTTTTAGACGGGATTTCCGGCAAGATTTATTTATTAATACTTTTTCAAGTATGTATGTGTATAAACGGTCTTGCGAATAACGCTTGAAATATATTTGTTACACGATCAGTACATCTGGAACATAATGTTTGCCGTATAATAATTAGATTATATATATATACACACACTCTCACTCGCATACCCATGCGCGCACACACGAGGATAAGTATTTCTGAAGAGATTTAGAAAAATAAATATTTTCAAGGGAAAATACACAAAGATAAAGACCCGGTCCAGAAGAAAATTTCCCAGATGTTGTCTGCCATCGCGCCCTCATATCCCTCGATTCGATATCCTTCGTCAATGCTATCGGCTAACAGATAAGCACTAAAAAAAGAAATGTCCCGACCATCTGCTTCTAATCGTACGGACGGTTATTCTCAAGATTTAAGTGCTCAAAAGATCATTTTTCGCTTCTCTGAGAAGCACGAGGATCGACACTCGAATGCGAATACCGGATGCACGAGTGCGTGAAGAATTTAATCGGTCTTCGGTGACGTTTTCCGACGATTATCGCGGTAGATCCCGGGGTGGAATCCACGTCGCGAGAAGGCGTGGCAGATTGAAATTACGCGCTGCGCGCGTCGGCGGTGGCGACGCGGCGCGTCGAGCGTCGGAATCGCCGGGCGACGGATGTGTGCGATCCGCGGCCGTTCGCGAGAGGTGGCAAGGTATCGAGGACTCTCGCCGTCGTCGGCCATAGTGAGAAAATGGCGGGTATTAGCTTACGTGAATGACGACGACGACCGTGCGCTCCCGAGAGCTTATTGTCGTGCAGTCGCGGAGGGTATCCGAGTGCGCGGTGTGTGCTTCGCCCGCGGTACAATTATACCAGCGGGGTAACTGTGTGTCATATGATTTATCTGGGGGGTAAAGATGCAGAATGTAGCACAAGGATCGACCTCGCATAGCAAGAAAAGCCACGAGAAGCAATCAGCGGTAGCAACGGCAACGGCAGCGGCAGCGGCAGCGGCAGCAGCAGCAGCAACGGCAGCGGCAACGGCAGCAGCAGCAGCAGCAGCATCGCCGCCGCCATCGTCCTCGACGACGAACGTTCACCGGGAAGACACTGGGAAAACGTCGTCGACTCCCCAGTCCTCGAATTCAAGCCCTACGAAATCGGAGACTGAGACCTTCTCCGAGCTGCAGCCGCGCTTTATGACAGACTCGTCGGAGAGCGAGGAGGACAGCGTTTCCGAGGTAAAGCTCGCCAGATGCGAGAGAGAGAAAGAGAGCGCGAGTGGGGCTCGCCTAGGCGCAACGTGATAAGATTGTCCCTGTGCACGCCGTGCTCGGGGGACGGAACGCGAGAGTAGAAGAGAGAACGAGTGAGAGAGGGAGAAGGTAGGGGACGGAAAGATGGAACGGGAGAGGAAGCGAGAAAGAGAGCGAGCGAGCGAGAGACAGAAGGGAGGGGAGAAAGAGAGAGAGAGAGCGCGAGAACGTTCGCTCGCGCGTGTATGCGAGCGGTGCCTGTGCCCGTGTACGCGCATACGTGTACGTGCCTTCTCGGAGGGCGAGAGCATCGTCTTCGCCGTAACAAGCGTGTTCCTACTCGGCGGAAAAGAAAGGGAGAGAGGAAAAAAAAAAAGAAAAACACCGCTCGAGTCTGCTCTACCGTCGTCGTGGCTCTTCCCCTCCTCCCCGTCTTCGAAGAAGACGACGACGACGGCGACGCCGACGCCGTCTCGGCCTCGTCATCGTCGTCGCGAGGCGGATACGCGCTATCTCTCCGTTGGATCGCGCTCGCCAGTTCTAGGAACGCGCTGAATCCCGATCTCGAATTAGTGGCGTCGAGCTCACGTTTCTCTCTCTCTCTCTTTCCTTCGCTCGGCCTCTCCACCTCCTTCCACCCGCTGGCGCTTCCTGTGGCATTTCCTATCTCTATTAGCGCGCACTTTCGCGTGTATCGCGCCGAGGATGTCGGCGACATTACGCGTGCACGCGCTCGTTATACCGGATCGATCGTAACGATCTACGTGAACGTGTATGTGTCTCCGTACGTCTCTAGCTCTAGCTCTCTCTCTCTCTTTTTCTCTCTCTCTCTCTCTCTCTCCCCCCCCCCTGTGTCTGTAAGATATACATATCCGTCTACACACGCCCGTTACCCGCACACAGGTAACTACGTGCGATTCCCGTGTACGTGTGTGCCTGTACTCGCGCGTGTGTCACTGGCATATATCTGGTGTGTACGCGCGAAAGAGGACGTTGAAGTCGTGCGAGAACGCGGCGAGGTTATGACTCGCCGTCGCCATGCCGAGGACGGTTCCCTCCGTCGCGGCGGCGGGCTGGCACTCGCGGGAGGTACGACCGGGGAGGTGCGTTCGGGAACGAATCGAACGGCGTCGATTCCCGGCTAGTTCAGCCCGTCGCCGAGGAACGGGAAACAAAAAGAAAAAAAAAAGAAAGAAAGAGGACACTCCGTTCTCCGCGCGCTTCCGAGCTGCGCGGAACGAACCTCCCTTCCGTCTTCACGACGTTTGATCTTGCCTCGATTCATCCCACGTCCCCGTGCGACCGTCGCCTCCGGAGAGAGACGGGAGACGATTTAAACCAAGATCGAGAAGTCGAGCGACGTCGGCGAACGATCTTTTTCCCTTCCAACCGTTGCCTCTGGAAGCAGACGAAAGGTGATTTAAACCAAGATCGAAGTCGAGGACCGCGGCGAGCGATCCTCTTTTTTTTTTCTTTTTCTCAAGTGTAGTTCTCCGAGTGATCGAAAGCGGACGGTGTAATTCGGGAAAGAAAGCTCTCATCCGTCAATTCGTCGTCGTCGTCGTCGTCGCCTGGCAGCGCTGGTCTCGAACTTGAAATAGACTGTGGAAACGGAGGGTTTACACGGAGGAATGCGAGGCTGCGGCGCCCAGATAGGCACCGAGAGGATCCCTCGGGCGCTCCGTAAAATCGCGTCTCCCCCGACCTTTATCCGCTCCCACCCGGCGAGTGATCTTCTTTAACAATCTCGGAAGTTGACCGCGATCGGCGTGTCGTCGCGCGGGTCGATTCCATTCCGCGAGAGCCTCGCGAGAACGCGCGACGTCTAACGTGCGTACGTAGGCAGGAAGGTGGCGGGGGAAGGGGCGAGGGGTTGGGGGGGCGGGAGGGGGACGGAGGGAGACACGCGTGAAGTGGACTGCGAGGCATTCCTCCGCCTGCGTCACGCGGCGAATCTCGAATCTCGGGTCCGCGGCGAGCTTCAGGCGGAATGCAAGCGCGAGCTTGCGAGGATCGGATTTGAAGCCGCCCGGAGGAGCAGGAGCGGCGTTGTGTCCCTAGACCGGTATTCCGCTCGGTACGCACCGCGTTCGCGGGCCGACGGTAGACGGGGAAGGGCCCTCGCGGCGAGTACAAAGCCCCCGTCGTCGACCTCGGCCCGATTCCGCTCGGCCGTAGCCGGGAGCGGGACCGCCGAAATTTTCAGCCCGTCGTTTCTAATCTAATCCCTCCCCTGCCCTCCGCGTCGTTGAACAACGACGGGTTAATTACCTCAGCGAGATGCGATCGGTCGATTGACGTCGATGCGATGTTGATCTTTTTACGAGGGGGGAAACCGCTGAGGGCATTGTGATGTACAGATTTGCGGCATTACTGGGCATTGCTAGGGCATTTTTTGGGCACTATAAGGATTAACTATAAGGATAAAATAAAACACAGTAACGACATATGATTAAGGCCAAGTCTAACAAGGTATTCAAATTATTTTACTGAAGAGTACATGCTTACATTTGGACTCTAGGATTGCGAGATAAGATAAAATAAGATAAAGTGATGCCCAGTGGGCATTGGTGTACAAGATTTTGATCAGCGGTTTCCCCCTCGCCTCGAACCTTCAAGAAAAGTGTCGGACGAGAGGTAAACCGCTGAGGACATTGTGACGTACAGATTTGCGGCATTACTGGGCATCACTAGGCATTTTTTGGGCATTAGGCCTTGCTGGGGAATTATAAAGATAAAATAAGATAAAACAAGATCAATAAGACAAAGTAATGCCAACTGGGCATTGGTGTGCGAGATTTTGGTCAGCGGTTTCCCCCCCTCGTTTTTTTACTTCGACGTCGATTCGGCATAATTTCTACGTCGAGCTTTCCTCGCCGGGTCGACACGATAGTGGAACAAGTCCCCATTCAATAGGTCAGTCGGAGTTTAGTCAGAGTCATCCTTGGGTCCGTTTTCCACGCGGATTAACTTTGATCTCGGTTTAACTCGCTTCCCCCTTTTGCCCCCGAGAACCGGGCCTACTTTTTTCCACCTCTAAGAATTGGAAAGAGATGGGAAATTATCTTAGGTCTCCTCTCCAGTAGCTAGCCAGAGTTATTTGCTTCTAATCGAAGTTACCCTTGCGTCCGTTTCTGTCGCGTTCCTTCCAATTTGCATCGATGGGAATGGACGTTAGACTCGCAGGCACAGCTCTCGCAGCACAATTTGTCTCCGTCAACTTCACGGCTACCGTATCGGGGAAACCAGCCTAATGTTTTGGGTATCGCCGGGCCGTCGCTCGAGGGAGCGACCCCGGCGATATAAATCCGAGTTCAAGAGGAAACGGATTTGAAAAGAATATTCCACGAGGCTAACAGCGTTTCCGACTGGACCAGGATTAATCGCTCCGGGAGCGATTAATGACGCCACGAGTTTTGTTTTAGGTTACTAGACAAATGACCCAAATGCCACCCGTTCGACCCGTACCAATGCGAATTGATCCATCAGCGCCAAGAAGCTTTGTAAGGTTACAATCAGGTTATACGTGCGCGTTTATTGTAGAACAAAGCTTTCTTTGACGATAATAACGCGTAAGTTTACCAATAGATATTTCGATTTTATCGTGAAATTACAAAGAACATTGTAACTAGAACCTAACCCAGATTAATAACACATTTTCGGTCGAACATGTGTTCCTAGTATCTTCAGGTCGAGGGGGAAACAGCTGACCAAAATTATACCAATGCCCAATAATGTCCAGTGGGCATTACTTTATCTTATTTTATCCTATTTTATCTTTATAATGCCGTAAATTTGTACACCACAATGCCCTCAGCGGTTTTCCCCTCGCTTTAAGTTAAACGCTCCAGGAGCGCTAAAACCCATGTCAGTTCCAGTCAGTCGAAACACTATAAGTTTCACCGATCGCGCCAGTCTGGTTCGCCTAACGCAGTTTCTTTCTGGATTACATTCTTGCCTGTGGCGCGGACGGTTGAGGATAATTTAGAGAAATTAGCGCTAATCAACCGAGGTCGAGTAGCGAATCGTGTCGATACGAGAGTTTCGGTGTTGACTCCGAAAGAAACAAAACAAAGGAGATGGTTTTCCTCCGCTGCGTTAAATTATACACTCCAGAAGCGGATGGGAAATTATTAACCGGAAGTCAATTGACTTGTACTACGCGATTGGAATTAAGATCCGGTTGTGCGAGTGTTAACTCTAGCCTCATTTCCTGTTCTATGCATCGCGAGCAAGATCGCAACCCAGAAAGAAGGGGGGGAAAAAAAGTATCCCAGTCTACTCGTTCCAAGTGCAATCCTGGCGCGTTTCGAGCAACGGACTCTCGATTAACGCTTAACCTCGCTTAACTTCTCGCCACTTGCTACTTATAGGATTATAACCTAAAAACCGTATAGTGGCCAATCGGACTTTACTTGACACAGATTATCGCTGTAAACGCTTTCGCAATCGCGCGTAATGTCCGATAATACCAAGATTAATCAAGGCCGATCGTAATTGATGTAATTTCTTCTTCATCTATGGTTGGGGAGGATCGTAATCCACACGTTGCTTATTTGTACAGTGACGGGCAGAATGGTTGCGATACTTTTTTTTTATGAGTTCAGGAACGTACATTTGGATCCAGGGTTACGTTCCAAGATCTTCGTCGGGGAATATTTTACTCGATGGCCATTCTGAGACCATTTTGACCGTTTCCGATCTATTTCTCGAGTAAAATTAGTGAAAATCTTTTAGAACAAACCTGAATCTAACTGCGCGTTCCTAAACCCATTGACAAAAGTGTTGCAACCATTCTATCGCTGTACCAAGTTGAATTTCTCAATTACGGCTTCCTTCAGTATCTCTTCACTATCTCCTCCAGACTAGACTGTAAATATTTTTCCATTTACTGGTAGATCAATCCCTCCGCACTAGATAAATTGAAACATATTGCAAAATCGAGTGCTAATTAATGCCAAAGTCCAAAATTAGACGCTCAGAGCGTTGGCAAAAAATTGGGTACATAACGAGATAACAAGGCTGATTCAATGTTAAACTGATTTTCTCTATCAAAAATATCTAATAGGATGTAAAAATAAACGCGCTAGAAAAATAAACGCGCTCCGAGAAACCGCTATTGAAATGTATCAGAATTTATTGAAAACGTTAAAATTTTTTCACCTGCAATTCAATTTTGCATTGCATTAAAATGTTAAACTCTCCTGTGTTATCTCCGTGATCGAAATATTCGTGGTATTAACATAACGTTAACACGTCGAACTGATGAATTTATTTCAGCTGGCAGAAATTCGTATTTAAATATTCCGTTTAAGATTAAGCTCCTCTACATATTTGATGTTAAAATATTCATTTATTGGCGCTAAGCTGACGTTAAGATTCCCACTCTGCCTAATTCAACGGTTTGAGATCTTAACGGTACATCAACAGAAACTAGTATTCTTAGTCACTGCATTTTTTTGTTGGTATAGAAGAGCAGCTCATAAATCTATTCCTTCCCACTGTTAATCCAATTCCTTGCCAAGCTGAAATTAAGTCAAGGCACTTAGTTTTGCGGTAGGTAGGAATTTCTTTAATAAAGGGATTAATTTAACGAGCAATTTTTGAATACGCAAGAGAGCTCGAAAGCTTGCAGCTTTTTAAACAATATTTCTAATTCCTTTTGATTCATTTTGACTTTTTAAACGAACTAAGATTGATGGTGCACACTGCCATGTTTGCGAAACGTCGGCACCACATTGCAAACGGACGCGGCAACCATCCGGAAGCCATTACGACTGAAGAACTAAGATTATATTTGGATAGTAATTCCAATTAAATTCGTCGGAATTGCATTTCTGATGTTCATTTTTTTTTTAAATTTGTAGGGAATCGTGCAAACGTTAGTTAATCGACGATATCCCGAGCCCAAAACGGACATTCTGCCGATGTCGACATTGAAGTACGCATAGTCGCGAAGCTATTTCTTTCTCGTCTAATATTGTAACATTGGTTTTAGTTTGCTAGACTTTGTTTCGTCCTCCTCTCTCTTGTCAAGGCCTATACGTGCATACGCGCATACGTACATAACACTTGTATTTATGTACGCCGTGTAAAAACGTGTGGCAAAGTCGAGTACGCGCGTTCGGCCCTTTTCGCTTTCTACGTGCGAACAGATATACGTCTGCTACATCAGTAAACGGATCTGTGAAGCCGCGTGACTTCGCACATCCCTTCGCGTAGCCAAGTAAATCCTTTAAATGAAATCCGTAAACAGCAATGAAGGATCGAGGCCAGTGAGGGACATTGGTAGACAGCTCGATTAATTTACGAAGCGATATCTGTTAACTATTTATTTCGTTAGCATGGATGCAATTTTTTTTTTAAGACTTCGAGAAAGGTAGCAAGTTGATCGATTATCGCGCGACACTCTCGGCCAGTCGGCTCGCGAATGAATCGGAGAATCTCGTTTCCCGTGCGAGCCGGGGGGAAATTTTGAAGCGACCCTCGTCGCGACCAGGTCCGGGGGTGCTGCCGAGTTCAATCGGATGCTTGGCTCGAGGTCGCCCCGAAGGGCCCCGCGATCGCACGAAGGCGTCGAAACGTGCCCCTCCCCACGATCCACCTTTCCTACCACCCTATCCACCCACCCGCTCCGAGTTTATCGTTATCCCGACGTGTTCGTTGCCCGACGTTAGGTTTCGTATCAGCCACCAGGTGGTCTCCGCTTCGCTAGATACCGCCGGCTTAGGAGGAGGTGTGCGTGCACGTAGATGGCCAGTCCCGCCGTAGAGGCCGTAGAACCTCGCCGCGGTGGGACGAAGGGACGCGGCGGGGGCCTGGGCGAACGGGAGGGAGGGGGGGGTGGCGGTGGAAGGAAAGAAAGGAGGAACGTCAGCGGGGAATTCGTGCATCGGGAAAGGGTTATATAACCCCCTGGGATATATACGTAATGCGCTAACAGACGTCGTCGTCGTCGCCGTCCGACGACACCGACGACGGTTCCTCGGGCCGTCGACGGCACGTCGCTCTCGCCTCTCCGGCTCCGGTTTTTCCTCTCTCGCGACTCGCTCACGCAATTCCCATCCTCCGCCCTCCCCTCCTTCCCTCTCGCCCGCCCCTTCCACTCCTTTCTCTCGGCTGGTAGTGCAAGCGTGCGCGCACTGCCACGGCAACGACTTCCACCTTCATTCTGATGTCCACGGGGAGAGCATCGCGGCCACCGAGGTGCAGTATTCGAATGCCGTTCCCATCCCACCTCCGGCATCCCCGTGCCCCTCTCTGCGCGCGCGAGAGTAACCGATGGGGGGGGAGGGGGTTGGGGGTTGACGCTAGGGGAGGGAGAGCGAATGAAGGAGAAAGAGCGAAGGAAGAGAAGAATGACTGGCATGTGTACGTGTCTCGTTTGTGTGTCGGGTACATACGTCGCGAGACACGGTAGTGTCTCGCGTCAAGTATAAGCGTAGCGAATACCGCGCGCGCGCGCGCGAGACCGACCGTGTACGCGAGTTACTACATACGCGAGCCTCTCGCCAGCCCGTATGCGCGCGCGCGCACACATGGCATAAGTGTGAATATCGCACGCCGCAGGAAGCCGCGTACGAACACACATACACACATACACACACACACGCATGCGCGCGCGTGTACCCGACGTGTGCGTGCGTGTGCATGCGCGCGCGCGCGCGTAACTGTGTGTGCGCGCCGCGCGTTCGTCGCACCGTCGCGCCGCCGGGCGCGCCACCTGACGGGCCTTGCGCGAGTACGCCGCGTTATCGCCTCGCGAGTTCTCGTCCGCGCACGAGTCCGCGGTGCCGATTAGCCCGTCCGCGGGCCGAGCCAACCTCTCGGCCGCGCCAAGCTCGCTCGCGGGATCGCGTACGCTTCGCACGCCCGCGACCGCTCGGCCCGCTCGCTCGCTCGCTCGGCCCCCCCTCCCTCCGGCCGCCGGTTCGGCCCCCCGTTGGCGTTTGCGCTACGGTGCGAGGCGCGGCGTTGTTGGTCGTCGACACCGCGCTCGTGGCGGTCGCTGGTCGATGCACGCGTGGAGAAGCGACCGCGTACGGCTCGGTAGCCACCATATTATTCTATAGGCAGCGGCAGCGGCAGTTGGCACGGTGCTCGTCTGTCGCGCGTCTCCCACGTCTCCACCTTCGTTGACGACGTGGAAGGGCAAGTGCCATCGGCGTAGATCGCCGTCGTCGTCGTCGTCGTCGCCGTCGCCGTCGCCGTCGCCGTCGCCGTCCTCGTCTGCCCCCTGTTGTGCACGCGAGTGCACTCGCGACGCGGATGCACGTCTCCCGACCGTCCTCGCGCTGCCTCGGCCGATCGTGCCTCGCGGCGGGGTGAGGGGAGGCGGCCAGCGGAAGAACGACGCATGGCTCGCGCGTAGGTATTATTACACGCGAGTTGTGCACGGCGGGATATGCCATAGGTCGTGGTAGTGTCAGTGCCGTCGTCGTCGTCATCGTCGTCATCGTCGTGGGGCCGCTCCTCCTTCGCGCGGCGGGGCGGCGGGGGTGGGGGGGAACGGCCGCGCGCATCGCCGAGCGTTAAGCGCTCTCCGTAACGTCACTTATCGTCGTAGCTGCTGCCGCCACCGCCGCCGCCGCTGCCGCTGCCGCTGCCGCCGCCGTTCGCCTAGAAAACACACAATTATACTTTCACCCGGCGTTCCCGATTTACGTTTATTGTCCCGCGGCCGCGGCTACGCGCGCCGATAACGCGAGCACGTCCGGTCGTCCCCCCCTCCCCTCCTCCCCCTTGACGAGCCCGATCTCTCGATCGATCACCAGGATCTCGGGGTGTCTTTGTTGGATGTCGATGTGCGAGAGATGAAGCGTGGAACGTGTAATCACGACCGGGCGTGAGATCGATTGTAGACAAATGAGGTGTAAAATAGCACAGACCTGACTTTTCAGTCCGATTCTTCCGTTCTTTCCTTTTTTTTTCTTCTTCCGTCCCCCACTTACATGGTTGCATAGACATTGTTCGGCTTACCGACGGATGTTTCGTTGCAGGTGGACGGCTTTCCGATCGATCAGGTCGAATTGGACGAAGATCATCCCGAGTCGTCGAAATACCTATTGACGACTGACGATTCCGAGCGCTCCGTGGACCCCGAGACCCAGGCGCGCCTCGAGGCACTACTTGAAGCGGCCGGCATCGGGAAGCTGTCGTCGGCCGATGGGAAGCAGCTGGCCGACCACGAGGTGCTCCGTCGCTTAACGTCGAGCGTGTCCTGCGCGTTGGACGAGGCCGCGGCAGCATTAACACGTATGCGCAGCGATAATCCGCGTACGCCGAACGAAAAGCGCTCCCTCATCGAGGCATGCACCGACGGTGACGTCGGTACCGTTCGGAAATTGTTAACGGAGGGCCGGAGTGTCCACGAGACTACCGAGGAGGGGGAGAGTCTGCTCTCTCTGGCGTGCTCAGCTGGTTACTACGAACTTGCTCAGGTTTGGATCCAGTTGACAATCGTAGAGCTCCATAGCGTTTCATAGAGTTCCACAGAGATCCTCTCAAATGAGACTTCCAGAACTTCCACTAACACCATTCGATGTCAGACACCATGTATGTCGCTTCACAAGCAGCTTCGTTACTTTAAGGTGCACCGGGGTGCTCGACCTGTTACGCGTGTGGATAAAAAATTTACGGTTCACACGTTTAACAAACTTTGTTACGCGTGTTGTGTATGTCTGTGTGTATGTGCGTGTGTGCGCGACAAGCTTGATCCTGGAATCATTAATTTGCCCATAAGTTTGTCTAATTTTTTTTCCCCCCCAAAGAATCTTCCGTTTTGAAAGATACTTTGTAGTGCCTCTGATAAAATTGTTGCATTGTACGTTTGTGCATGTGTGCGCTTGGTATTAAATGCTGTCTCTTCCCCTTTGTCATTTTGTTAAATCCCCGGTATGCATATTTTACTGCGTATGCGTAACATTGTGTTTGCTGTATTTGTGCAGGTGTTGTCATTGGTGTTAACAGTTCAGTTTGAATGACTGTGATAATACATTGGTACAGTAATTCTCATTATGCGAGAAGATCAGAAAATAATTCCGTATCGAACGCATTATCCGGTGATGTTGCACTTTCACGTGACACGCGCCGTGAAGTAGTAAGAGTTGTAAAAACAGACTTGATCTCTGTGTCGGCATGTGTCGGACAATGTGTCCACGCAATTCAATTTTGTTTGTATTGCGCTGTAATTACAGTCACTCAGAATGATTGTTTAGTGGTAAACGATTGCTGCCTTATCTTGGAAATAAGTTCTGGCTTAGCTTTGCGGCTGGAAGACCTTCTCATTTGCTTCCAATCCTGTACTCTTGTGTAACTGTGTGAACTACGAGATTGAAAATTAATTTTAATTCGCTGAAATTTATTCCGGTCACTTTAACGTCAACGTTGGACGAATCACACGAGACGCTGTACGTGAAATACGCTTTTACACGGAAACATTCTTCGAAACGTCAGTCTTCTATGCTTCAACTTTTTTTTTCTTGTTTATCAAACTCGTGCTAATCAATGGGCATGAAGTTGGCATTGTAATCGTACAATTGTAATGTAAGATGATTTATATTCGAAATTAATTTTGTAGGCTGTTGAAATTTATCTGTTACTGCGTTTTTTCTACAAAACAGGTTCTTTTGGCGATGAATGCTAATGTAGAAGACCGTGGCATCAAGGGGGACTGCACCCCTTTGATGGAAGCTGCTAGTGCGGGGCATGTAGATATCGTAACTTTGCTGATTGCTCACGGGGCTGATGTAAATGCTCAGTCTACATCAGGTAAAGAAATAATTCGTCAGTTTCGTTCAATTCAACACCGTGACGCCCCATAGCTCTAGCAGACCAGCGCGACAACGCGACGCGCGATTATCCAAAGCGTACAGGTTTTATGGGAAAGCACGCAGCTTTCCCACAAAGACCGTACGCCCATTAGATTATCTCGCGTCGCGCTAGTCTGCCAGAGCCATAAAGCTTAACGACGCGCTAAAATTCCTTTCGCCAATGTATAAATATTGTCGGGGTTACCTCGGCGTTGTTTTGGCCCGATGATAATTGAAAATGTACTTTTATTTTGACCAAAGGCAACACACCTCTCATGTACGGATGCGCTGGTGGACACGAAGAGGTCGTGCGTGTCTTGTTAGATGCAGGGGCCAATGTTGAAGATCACAATGAGAATGGTCATACACCTCTAATGGAAGCAGCGAGCGCCGGGCACGTTCAAGTCGCTAAAATCTTGCTTGAACGTGGAGCTGGCATCAATACTCATTCCAATGAATTTAAAGAATCTGCATTGACATTGGCTTGTTACAAGGGACATTTAGAGATGGTTCGCTTCTTGCTAGAAGCTGGCGCAGATCAGGTAACAATCCTCCCTTGAGTATTCTCTGGGGTATATATGTATATAAGGATATTAGGAAAACGCAGGTTAAATATTATCGCGTTACACTAACAACGTAGATAGGAGATTACTGTCTTTCGATCAGTTTCGAGAAAGAAAAGAAAGATTTTCTTATCTACGGAATTCTTGGAATTATTTAAGAACTGCATTATTTTCAACGGGCAAGAAAAGTGAGGCTCTCGTGAACCTGACTAATGATTACACTGTTATCGTTACTCATCAAGTAACGCATCGATTGGTTCGCCGAGTGTCCTATCTTTGCGCGTCTAAAACGCCACGTACTTGATCATGCCCGACTACCGTAGTTTACAATGTACCTTTCAGTCAGAACCATGTGGCAAAGGATCATATGAAAAAAGATGTTTAAAATTATTGAGAGATATCTAACGCGATTAATCATAAGACGTTAAACAGTGGTGTTCGGTAATTTTTTCATATTAATATTTAAAGATTTTACATTGTTCCTGTACATTTTTACAGGAGCATAAAACGGACGAGATGCATACCGCTCTCATGGAGGCATCAATGGACGGTCACGTCGAAGTTGCGCGTTTACTTTTAGATTCCGGTGCCCAAGTAAATATGCCGACGGATAGTTTCGAGTCGCCATTAACATTAGCTGCTTGTGGGGGTCACGTGGATTTAGCGATGCTTCTGATCGAACGTGGAGCAAACATCGAGGAGGTGAACGACGAAGGGTACACGCCGTTGATGGAAGCAGCGCGTGAAGGACATGAAGAAATGGTCGCTTTACTTCTAAGTCAGGGTACGTAACGCGTTTTTCGTTTGAATCGTTAAACAACAATGATTGATTGTAAACGAATACGATATATATGTGTATGTGTGTGTGTGATTATTAAAAAAGGTGCAAACATCAATGCCCAAACTGAGGAAACTCAGGAAACTGCGCTCACCCTGGCTTGTTGCGGCGGTTTCTTGGAGGTTGCCGATTTTTTAATCAAAGCGGGAGCGGATATCGAGCTGGGCGCATCTACTCCCCTAATGGAGGCTGCGCAGGAGGGACACTTAGATCTTGTCCGATATTTGCTGGAATCTGCGGCGGATGTTCATGCTCAGACACAAACGGGAGATACGGCATTGACATATGCGTGCGAAAACGGTCACACTGACGTTGCTGATCTTTTATTGCAATTTGGCGCTGATCTAGTACGTACATTTTGATGATTGACATTTGCAAATACATTTTATTTTTACGTTAGATGAGATTTGACTAGTCTAGAGACTAGACTAGACTAGATTAGTTTAACTTTGTTTTTATATATTTCGAAATAATATTTCTATATTATCCTGTGACTTTGAATTTTATCATTGTCGAGTTACCTATATATCAATCGTTTGTATTTAAGGAACATGAATCGGAAGGCGGTAGAACACCACTAATGAAAGCTTGTCGAGCGGGCCATTTGTGTACTGTCCAATTTCTGATCTCGAAACGCGCCGATGTTAATCGTCAAACAACAAACAATGATCATACACCACTTTCGTTGGCATGCGCTGGAGGTCATCTGGGTGTAGTTGAGCTGCTCCTCGCACAATCTGCGAATCCATTTCATAAACTGAAAGTAAGAGCGTTGAACTTTGTATTGTGTTAGAACATTGATGACTATATATTTTCCATTTGCTTCAGTTCGTTTATATAATACGTGTGCTTTATACGCATACAAATATATATACACAGAAATATTCATTTATACATTCACAAAAGATTTCATATGAATGTAATATCAATAAGATACATGTCGTCATGTGTTTTATATTAATTTCTATACTAAAATCTCTTTATTTTTTATATAAGCTTTCCAGAACATTAATTACATTGGTACTAGTGTATAATTTAAAACAATTCATTTATAGGACAACTCAACAATGCTCATAGAAGCAGCAAAAGGAGGTCACACTCCTGTAGTCCAACTATTGTTGGATTATCCTCACAGCATTATGATGAGTGCTCCTCATACTGCTGCACCTGCGCCCATGTTATTACCGCAGCAGCAGCAACAGCAGCAGCAGCCGCCACCGCAACAACAGCAGCCGTCGCAACAACAACAGCAGCAGCAGCCACAGCAGCATATGAGTCATCAGCAACATATACCTCTTATGCAGCAGGCATCTGCGCAACCACAACAACATCCACAACAGCAGCAGCAGCAGCAGCAGCAACAGCAAACCGCCGAGCAACAACAAGCGCAAAATCTTCAACCTAAACACAATACGCAAAAATCATTATTGAGAAAGAATCGATCAGTAACTATGATGCCCGATATGAGCCTTACTTCTGCCGAAGCGCAACAAGTTCGTTCGCAGCCCGCAGGAGAATCAACCACTACTACCAAGGACGATACCAATATTCTCGATAAAGGCAGTGGGGGTTTTACAAGTTTGTCAGAACCTAATATTAGTCTTAGTCCAACGCCAGCAGCGTCAGCGCAAGTGATACATGTTGGCGAAAGTCGGAAAGCTATATCTAGACACGAGCACCACCTTCAGAAGCAACAAATACTTGAGGACATACATGTACGTCCTTTTTGACATATTCTTAATGTTCTGAAGCGTCCCGATATATGTATATTTAAAATGACATAAAAGTTCTTGACTGGCTGCAGTTACATGCTTTATTAATCTAATAACTCTTATAATCTTTGTATACATATATGTATACATATATATATAATGATAATACATAAACAAAAAAATTGAGATATTTTATGTTTATTTTTTTATTCTGTGTGTGCTGCAGTTTTGTGTAAAGTAGAGTCAAGCGGTATAATTATATCTTCTAGAGGGTAGAACGAGAACTACAAAATAAAAGTGTAGGACAACTATTGTTTTCTCCTCCGTGGACTACAATTCTAAATAAATTTCAGCAACCACAAGATCCTAGCGAGACAGAAGCATTATTACCAGGCATGCTGAATATTGACTTGCCAGCCCAGTCAACTTCTCCTCACGGTATTTTATTCATCTTATTGTATTGAAATATACATTTGCATTAAAACAATTATATATTTATGCTTATATTAATATTTTCAATATGATTTTTATACTTTAAAGGTTTGGTTTGCAATACAACTGGTGCATCTGGTGGTTCATTGGTGTATCAAACAGCTAATGAAATGGTGTGCGGCTCTTACCTCGACGCTAAGCTAGCAGGGTTGCCAGCTGTACAGTACCAGAAAGCAGTTTCCGTGGTTCCAACAGCGACGGAAACGTTCCCCACAAATACATTTCCTTCGTCGCCTCCATTGTCTCTTGCTCCGTTACCTGTCGCGGCCACTACTACTGTCTCGCTCATTAGTGCTACTTCTTCAACAACGCCGAGTCCGCCGAGCATCTGTACCCCTCCAACCGTTATAGCCGTTTCCCAATCACCTATTACTGCGAGCAGTGACGTCAGCCAGAACACCGCTATAAGTGATCGTCCGAAAGCTAAGCCTGTGTCCAAGAAGGAAGGAAAAAACGTGCGAAAAGCTACATCCAGCATGGGGATGGCAAAGTTACAGCAGACACAGGCAAGTATAATGGCTGGACTTCACCAACAATATCAGCAGAAGCAACGCCAGCATCCCTCCTATCAAGTGCAACAAGTTCAGCAGCTGCAGCAGCTCAACCAGCAATTGCAGCTACAGTTGGATCAAGTGCAGGTAGATTTCTATTTTCGTCTTTGTATCTTGTTCCAGTTTTAAAAATCTTACAGCGTGACAATAAGTGGATTTAACACGGGTGTAGACCGCGTTCTTTTTTTCTTAAATGAACTTTTACCATATAGATACAACAACAATCGCAGCAACCGCAATCACAACCGCAACAATCTCACCAACAAGCTCATTCACTGCAGCAAACAAATATAGTTGCTAATAATACGGGTAGCATACTCATGCCCACTCAATTGATGTCGCACTTGCATCCTACGCATCATCATTTGCAGGTAATCGTTGTTTTGCAGTAGCCAGGCAACTATGTAATTAAATAATTAGCTGTTGTCTTTTATAAAGTTTAAACTAAACTTAAAAAGAAACGTACACTTTTAACAGCAAACGGCGCAAGATAATCTTCCCGAGCAAACGGATCCTGAGTTAACGCGAAAGTACAGAGAAAGCGCTTGCGCCGCGTTTTTTACTGGCGCCCAAAAATCTAAAACCTTCTCACCTAACGAAAGAGTGAAATTGGACTCGGATCTTCCTATCGACGATGCGTTTGAAATTTTTCGTTCCTTTAATTTCGACGATGCAGTTGACAGTAAATACCTTTCTTCTTATTACTTAAGAAGAAATCAAAATTAAAAGCCAAAAAATTTAATATCTTATTTCATTTCTCTGTAGCAACAGAAGATCAAGAGAAGCTTGAACTGAAAAGATTGGATGTATCGAATAATAAGGAACAACAACAGCAGCAGCAGCATCAACAACAACAACAACAACAGCAACAACAACAACAACAACATTTGCATGCTACTCAAATAGTTCAAGGCGGAAGTCCTCATGCATCCCAAGAGTATTTTACTCCCGTATTGTCAGTACCTTCGGTGTCTTTACCGGCCTTACCATCATTGCAAGTGACCAGCGCAGGCGTTCAAATAGAGGCAGACATATCAGCGGGCTTACAACTAACAAGTACGCAATCCTTGCAAAATCCGACCCTGAAAAATCGTCTGAGAGCCTTCGAGGAAGGTTTTCGCCAAGGTAGCATACATTTTCGTGAATGTATGCAGCATATTAGCAGCGATTCTTTTCAACCTCAGTTGTTGCTTCAGTCTTCTCAACTAGGTAAGTTACCGAAACGTGTCTTTAGCACGGCTGATGTCGCCGAGTTCTCGCAATAGTGAATAATTTTTCATTTTCTTAAACTTTCTCATCACTAGCATTTCCTGCGCAAACGTTACCAGCTGTGAGTGGCGCAACGGGAATAATAGATAGTATACATCCTCATCAATCGAGCAGTTACGTGCAATCTACAACTTGCAGCACTAATCAAGTTCAAGTTGCTACACAGACTCAATCGCCTGTTACTACAACAACTACGAACGTTGCTACCTCTGATAAGAAACAAGTATATACTGCACCGACCACCGGCAAGGGCAAGAAGGCTAGATATCCTCTTTTATCTCAACAACAGTCTTGCCAGCAACAACAAACTGCCACTACTCAGCAAACTCCGAATTTTCCTTCGCAAAACTATCAGCTAGATCCAGCAACAGGTGAGAATCGTACGATGCTTTGTGATTTCCGCTGTAATCAACACTAATATGATGCTCGTAATAAATTGCTAAGATTGTTCTTCACCGCTCAGTTATTGAATGTATAACAGGTGTTCCGACAGTGGGAGGATATGCATCCAATCAAGTTCCACCCGCTCCTTTCTCTTGTATGGATGTTGATTCAGAAACTGATAGTAATCACGATACTGCGCTAACATTGGCGTGTGCAGGAGGACATGAAGATCTCGTTGAGCTTCTCTTGAGTCGTGGTGCGGATATAGGTAGGTAAAATTTATATTATCCTGTGGTGTTTATTGACGCGCAGTTGAATTTAATATGTCAAGTTTCGTATACCTAATTTAATGTAATACGTAAGAAATATTTGTCGCATTTATTACAAGACAAAGAGAAACTCTTACTGAAGGAGCAAACTGACATGGCAATTTTCTTACAGAACATAGGGATAAGAAAGGATTTACACCGCTTATTTTGGCCGCGACGGCTGGTCATCAGAAGGTAGTTGAGATTCTACTCAATCATGGAGCTGATATAGAAGCGCAATCCGAACGTACCAAGGATACACCACTATCTCTCGCATGTAGCGGAGGTAGATATGAAGTGGTCGAGCTTCTGCTGAATCGTAATGCGAACAAAGAACATCGCAACGTTTCTGATTATACCCCCTTGAGCCTTGCTGCATCCGGTGGTTACGTGAATATAATTAAGCTTTTACTGAGCCATGGAGCCGAAATTAATTCCCGTACTGGTTCCAAATTGGGAATATCACCTCTAATGTTGGCTGCTATGAATGGTCACACCGGTAAGAAATCAAAGTTTGAAATGATTTAATTGTAATTGGTGCTTGACAATGACAAATTCCACTTTGCCATATGTAAAGGACATTTCATTATGACTGAAACACTAAAGAGTAAATGTAACATTTCAATGTGCAGCGGCAGTCAAACTACTTTTGGATATGGGCAGCGACATCAATGCGCAAATTGAGACAAATCGTAACACAGCTTTAACGCTCGCATGTTTTCAAGGAAGACATGAAGTTGTTAGTCTTCTTCTTGATCGGAAAGCCAACGTTGAACATCGTGCTAAGGTAACACCTAATTTTTTTACGCTATCCAAAAGTTCCCGGAGACAATCAAATACAACGAACTAAGGGCTTTAATAATAAGTCCTTTGTTCATAATAAACTTTAGTAATAATTTTTTTTATATTATACAAATAGAAAATTTGTATGTAAATATTACATTAACAGAACCTCCAATTTTTTCGTATTAATAATAGTCTTTTCTGTCCAGGCTACTGCTCATTATTTACTGAATAAACGTAACATTTCTAAATCACTAAAAGTGATATGTTGAGAACAATACTGTTTCAAATATATTCACGCACAAAAAATATACATTTGCTTATTTAGATACCACTTATACATATGTATATTTTAGTACAAAACAATTGCGAGAGACACACTATTAAGAATCTGGTACAAAGGAATCTTTTCTAAGCAGAAGACTTGCACGTCGCGCGCGCGGTCGCAAACACGACTGATTAAACACAATCTCAAATAATTAAACATGTTACAATTGCGCATCTCTTTTACGGAAAAATAAGATTTCAGAAAACAGTAATAACATAAATTATATGACGAGAAACGTTTATAAACTTCTTACGTAACACTTCTCAACGAAGCACGTATCTTGGAATTTTCAGATGGCAGTGTAACTTACGTATGTGAGTTTTCTATTAAAATTTTTTTAATAATCATGTTTTTTTTCTAAAGACTGGTCTCACCCCATTAATGGAGGCTGCTAGTGGAGGCTATGTCGAAGTGGGACGAGTGTTGCTTACCAAAGGTGCCGACGTTAACGCGACTCCAGTCCCGTCATCTCGTGATACTGCCCTTACTATTGCCGCTGATAAAGGACACTGCCGATTCGTAGAACTCTTATTATCGAAGTAATTTGACGCCACGTTATGTCCCGCGTGTCATGAAATAATGGAGATGTTCGATAACAGAGATTTTGTCTTTTCTTTCTTCAGAGGGACGCAAGTTGAGGTAAAAAATAAAAAAGGGAACAGTCCTCTATGGTTAGCTGCAAACGGCGGGCACCTCAATGTTGTAGATTTGCTATACCATGCAGGTGCAGATATAGACTCTCAAGATAACCGTAAGGTACAGATAACAGTTTGTTTGACGAGAGATTTTACTGTAATCATTTTTTTATTTAATCTTTGATAAAATATATTCTGTAACAATTAGGTTTCTTGTTTGATGGCTGCGTTTCGGAAGGGTCATATCAAAGTCGTAAAATGGATGGTAAATCATGTAACGCAATTCCCAAGTGACCAAGAGATGACGAGATACATAGCGACTGTTAGCGATAAGGAACTTTTGGAAAAGTGTCAAGAGTGTGTGAAAGTAATAAGAGCCGCGAAAGAGACACAGGCCGCTAAAGCAAACAAGAATGCGACTATACTATTGGAAGAACTCGATATGGAGAAGACGAGAGAAGAATCGAAGAAGGCGGCCGCCGCGCGAAGACGGGAGAGGAAGAAAAAGAAGAAACTCGAGAAAAAGGAGGAGAAGCGCAAACTTCACGAGGAGTACAAGAAAAGTGAGACAGCTTTCGAGGATAAGGAAGAAAGCGGGAAGAAGTCGGATGAGGAATGTGATCGAGCCGACGACAGCGAGCATGAGGCCGGCGACGAGAGAATGGAGAGCGTGCCGTCTCCTGTGAACAGAAGTCCGGAGGATCCCGACAGAGAAGAGGGTGATAGTGGAATAGATGCGAACAGCCAAGGTAGTTGTAGTAGCAATGACGTTAAAGCAAGAGAGAAAAAGAAGGATAAAAAGAAAAAGAAGAACAACAGTCCTAGTAACAACGATAAGGATACGTCCCCGCAACGTTCGTCCAAGACTCTCCTCTCACAAAACACCAACTTATCTCAAAGCACAGCGACATCAACCAAATCTCAGAATAACACTTCGGAAAAGTAAGTAGATGCATTCTTCTCTGCTTCTCGGCCTGTGAGATTTAAAGATTCAAAGTTGTCAAGTATTTGGATATAGAACATTTTTGCCACTGGAACAATATTTTTCGTACAGATAATGTTAAATGTTGAATAAATATCAAATATACAAAAGTACAATTCTACTGTACTGATCTTTTTAAATTTATATAAATATTAAATTATACATACATATATTAAATTTAATATATTTCGAGATGTATAGGAACAGAAGTTTGAAAAGAATCTTTTGTTTCGTTTTTCATATATCTAATTATATATTTGGAAAGGAAGATTCAATGTTTAATTCTTTGCTTTAAAATATATGAAGTAATTTTTGTGTTTCTGTAATAATGAGATACGTGGTACATTACGTAATCAAATATTGAAATATGGGATCATCCTTTTTAATACTATTTTATTATAAATCTATAATAATTTCTGCAGGCGAATTATGACTAATGTTACCAGTGCAGTATCGGTATCAACATCCTCAGTCACAACCACTAGGTCATCCACTACCGTCAATTCCGACCGAAAATTGAAAGGTCAATTAGTTTTTGAGTCTTCTTTAAGACATCCTGCGGATAGAGAAGATTTTGAAGCAACTGGTAACGAGACTTACGTTCCTGGCAAAGGAAAGAAGTCTTACAACAATCAATACGATGGAGATTTAAATATATCTGCGAAGGCGAGTAACACTAGCCCCAAGCAAAGCGGAAAACGCGAGGAAGGCTGGAGGGAAGTCGTACGAAAGTGAGATACATTCTAGAAGAAATTTTTTAAATCATTCCATCACACACGCACACACACATACACACATACATTCACTTTAGTATTAATATTTTTACTAATAGAGTTATATACAACGTAATTTGATTAATTGCGATTTGCAGAGGACAATCTGATGATTCGGGAAGATTTATGAACTCACCATTTCGTTCAAAAAAAGTATCTGTACCTCCAAATGCTATCAGCCGAGTAATAGGTAGAGGTGGCAGTAATATAAATGCTATTCGTGTTGCAACGGGCGCGCATATTGAAGTAGAAAAGCAAAGTAAATGTCAAGTGGAAAGAATCATTACAATTAAGTGAGTATCTGATAATGTACATCTTTTAATGAAGTTTATATTTTTTTATATACATATAAGAGATATATACCATGGATTTATTGTATAAATAATTTTCTATTCCTATTTTAAAGATGAAAAAAAGAAAATCCTAATATCAAAATATTGACACTTTATTTGTTTCACATAAATAGATATATTTTTTGTTTTACCTGAAAATTAAATATTAATCTCTGAAGAATCCGGAATTTTTCAGAAAATCCTTTACTAGATATTTTGATTACTTAAAAAGTATTAGTGTTTAAATTGTTATTCTGTTGTTTGTAGAGGATCAACCGAAGCAACAAGGCAAGCTCATTCCTTGATAACATTACTTATTAAAGATCCAGAGGCAGATATAACGCTGGTGCTTCCAAAATCCAAACTTAATGTCGTAACAACCTCGTCGTGGGACAAGTCTGTCTCTACTGTTGCTGTAAGTACAAAAAAATTAAATTAATAAATTAAAAATAATTATTTAGACCCCCAACATCCTATCAAGGCTCTTAAACCCTATATTCCTTTGTGTAAATTAATAAGCTTTATGCGTTATATATGTACAACAATTTAATAAACTGATACCGTTTTTTCAGGCAAGTAAAACGAAAATTGGTGGGTCTGTTAATAAACCACCTAATCTGACATCCAGTACAACCAGTAGCCAAGTTAATAAATCAGGATACTCTTCAGGTGCATCTATTAATCCATTGGTTCCTGTTCGTTCATCGTCTAGCGTGAAACTTGCCAGTGCTTTCCCTACTTCTTTGCCACGTGCGACAGCGCCTAGACTCATGGCCGCAGGTAATACACAGTGATTCTTCATATAACCATTAATTATTAACTGTAACATGTTTATTTTTATAATATGTTGTAATTAATTTACAAAAAGTATCATTCAACAATAACACATTAACATCAAATATTAATCTCAAATATATCATTTGCTTTTTATATTTGTTTTTTTTATTATATAAAGCCCACTTTACACGATCTATAATTCGCAACAGAATTCGAGACAGAATTCCATTTTAAAATTTTTATGTATCGTGTAATACAGAAAACATTTAAACAATCAGAATTATAATTATAATGCTCCAATTTTGTAAATAGAAAAGATGCATCAAATATGTGTAGTGCATGAAAATGCGTGATTGATTAATTGTATCTGGTCTAATGAAAAACCTTAAGCATTGATTGCTGTGAGCATTTGTGTCCTATCGGCAGGGAAAACGGACCTCATCCATATGTAAATGTTATAACCTACACTAACCTAATCTACAAACATATGTCAATTTAATATATGAAATTATAAAATAGAATTCTATCTTGAATTCTGTCGCGAATTATAGATCGTGTGAAGTGGGCTTAAGTGTTTAAGAGTGTTAACGAGGATCTACTCGAAAGTTTTTTTTACTCGATGTTTAATAAAGGTGAAATTATTGCGAAACAAAAACGTGATACGGGCAACAAGAGCCAACGCCAAATGTTGGGTGTGAAAAATAATAACATTTAATGTTTGATACATAAAAAATGGTTAAACGTTTCCATCATCTTGTGAGATCCTCTTGAATATATGGAAACAGATCATGTGTCGCAATATAATAATGTAAAATAGAAATAGGTTAGGTTAGGTTAGTCACGGACACTTGAACAAACTCGGTAATCATTAAAATTGACAAGAAAATCTGCTGCTTCTCACAAATAACGGTCTCACCCGGTGGTGGATGTCTGAACGTTATGTAAGTGTTGTAGTACCTAACGCCGAATACCTTGTGTGGTGTTAGGTAGGAAATTCATTAGTCCATGTATTCAAGCGAGTCTAATATGTTGTGGAGCTTGTGAAAAGATAATATTCCTTGCTTGAGAGACAATTTTTAACGTTGTCACCCCAAATATATACAGAACAGAGAAATTATTATCTTCCCAGTCAATGGTGTAAGGACATGTATTTGTTTAGTAACGCGGGGCAAATCCATTTGCTCCAAGGAGGAAGGCGGGATTATGTCGAACTCCGGTTAATTGTAAAACTTCCACGGATGGATTTTTTGGCGTACAAGTGGGAACACTCCGAAAATTACAGAAACATTATTTCCGGAGTGCTCCCTGTGCCCACGATTGCACGCCCTATCTTGTAGACACGTATACATTGAGCGGACTTTGTTCAATAATATATTTATACCTTTATTAATCATCATAAGTGAACATTACAATGATTCAACTTTAGGAAATTAGAACAATGTTTTATTAAGAAATATTGTTATGTATTGAATAATAATATAGAAAATAGGTAAGCAATTTGCTTGACTGATCAAAAATTGTATCAAAAAAATATATGTAAACTAAAAAAAATAAGTAGGTAGTAAGAACCAGAGCAACCGACCATGTAAAGGCCTTCACACATAAAATTCCGTAAGGACGTAAAACGTAAGCATAAGAAAATCGACCAATCACAGTCGAGAACGTAAGGGTGCATTTTCACCTGACGCTATGACGCTAGATTTTTCAGCGTCAAAAGAGCCTGATATCCAAGTTTGAGCGTCAGTGCACTACGTTGCATCGAGTTTAGGTTAACTAATCTTAACTTGGTTTGAAGAAATGTCATTTAATCAAAGATATTACAAGTGGCAAACAAAATGTTTAAAAGTAATAAATTTAAAAAGAAGAGAAAAGAATAAAAAAACGTCTAATGGTATGTGTGGCAGTGATTAATGAGTTGAAAAAAAATGCAGAAAAGATAATATACCAAAAAAACGTTATTGGGTTGCACCGTTATTTGAAAATAGAAAATTGCATGGTTTTTATCATGTGTTACGTTTTATTATTGTCTTAAAGGTTCTTCTTTTTGGGTCAATGCACTTAAGCACTTTACCTGAGTCCTTTAAATTCTTTGAAATTTATGTTTAACACATACGAGCCTTACTAATTTATTTAATATAAAATTTATAACTTCAAAAATTTTTTATTTATTTTGTTATATTTTTCATATTTGTAATCTATTTTTATCTTCTATTTGTCCATATTAACTTATTCCGTTTATTAAAATAAAAATAGAATAACTGTTTTATCTTAGATTGCATTGACATTTTATACAGTAGTTACGATAAGTATTTAAAATTTGCCGCTTTTTGTACGCTGTTTAACGAAAAACGGCGACTTTCGCCAATGTAACACATTGGCATAACTCTGCTTATAGGAACTCTAATTTAAGACTTTCTTTCTCTGTCTCACCATCGTGATAAGGGAGAATCACGCCTGTGTAGTACTTTCGCCCAGCGAGAAATGACTCGTCGATCGATATCGAAATCGATGTCGAATCGACGTCAACTTGACGGTGTCGATGTCGATGTCGATTCGACATCGTTTCGACATCGATCGACGAATCATTTCTCGCTGGGTGTGCAGGCACGATTCTTTTCTTTTACGTTAGTGTGAGACAGAGAAAGAAAATCTTAAATCTTTTTTCGCTCTCTTCACAAGCTTCAGCTTATCCAATGGGACGCTCAATCTATATTTACTACGCCTATGGTAAGGTTTATGGTAACAGGCTCCGCAACAATACATTTTTAAATAGATTTTTAAATGTACATGTATAATTCTTTTTGCCTCATTTAATGCAAATATGAAAAACTTTGCAAAAAGACGTTCTGGTCCATATTGCTTTAAAATACTTGGTCAAATTTATTATCAAATTAATACAGCATTACATGCTACACAAAATGAAAAACCGTCTTATAACATAGTATATCAATGCATTCAACAAGTAATCCATTGAGTGATATTTTTGATGAAAAAAGTATAAATATAAATTTATAAAAATGAAAAAGGCCCCTTTAAAGCACCCATACTAACCGCTCCTACGTGCAGGAGCCACGTTAATGACATTGAGGTAAGTAAATTCTTACAGAGAATTCACAACTGCGTCCGATGTCTGACACCCGATTATTCGATATCCAATAAGGGAGTTTATTTAAATGGTTCTTTTACACGTAAAATTAAAATCCTAATAATGCCTACTGACGACGAATAAACATGTGAACTCCAATCGCAGCGATTTTATCAGCGAATTTGCATTTTTATTGATAAAAAAAGGATTCAGAATATGGGCTAATAATACTATCTGCGGCCGTCACTGCGTAAACTACACTAAATGCGCCTATATGCACTAAATATCTAAATGCACACAGAGTGATGCAGATGCCTGTAGACCATGTTCCTTAATTTATCACGTGTGAGTTAATCTCACGTAATGGAGGAAAACTAGTATCTTAAAGACGTTTTCAATGGCGTCCTCTGCTGACATTAAAATTTTTAGTCCATTATTTTGGGAATAGGAAGAAGAAGCATTGACGTATTTATAAGTTTATATTTGATGTTAAACCTAATTCGAGTACGAGAAAATCTGCGAACATCTTGCGGTCATTGTTTTACAGTGAAAATAAATGCATCCAGTGTAATGTTCTTGTATTTTGCGCTCAGTAAAAATTTATCTATTAACTAAGCTCTCAATTGCGAGAACAGTACTAGAATAAAGAATAAAGAGAGTGATTTAACATCCAGAGAAAACATTGTAAACAGTAGTTTACAAAAGAAAAACGTAAAAGTTGCTACATATATTAACATGTATTATACTTCTATTTTGCATTCTATTAATATTGTGCACTAATACTAATTACACGTCGATACTAATTGTGTGCAGCGGAGAAACGTGCGCAAGCTGTGGCTGCCCAAATGGCGTCCTCGTCGAACACGAAGACGACGATGTCGTATACGAGTGCGATTATGACTGCCGGTAGAGCAGGGACAAAGATTGTCACGACCAGCACGACGCAGACGTTCGCGGCAAAGCTATCCGAGATCACTGCCTCGACCCACAGTTCTACCACCGTCATGCAGTCTACTCACACCGTGCCCGTGAACAAGCAACAGAAGCCCATGGCACAAGCCGCGCAGACTGTGACTATTATGTCGGCCACATCTGCAGCAACCGCCCATACAACCAGCCAGCAACAGTCCGTAGTCAGTACGTCGCCGAAACACTGCCGATCACTGCCCATCTTGTCCGCTCCGTCGGCGATAGCATCCCACTATCCTGGAAAGTCCAGTTTTTCCCCTGGAACGATTGCGATCTCGTCATCGTCGGCCACGAACGCCGTAGTGACGATGAATTGCCCAGAAAGTTCGATCAACTCGACATCAGCAGCTAGTTCCGTACGAGTGACACCCTCGCCACCGATTGTATCGTCGCTGCAGATGCAAACATTGCCGCCGCCGCCACCGACGGGGCAACAGCAGCAGCAACCGATGCAGCAACAGCAATCGCAGCAGGGTATTCGCAGCGCCACACCGGTCGTAACTCAGGAACATCAGCAGCAACCACAGCAGCAGCAGCAGCAACAGCAGCAGCAGCAGCCTAGCAGCACGCCTCTCGAATATTCTCTGTTTAACGATACTTTTACCAAAGTCGCGCAACAGTCCATGTGGGGAGGAAGAGAAAACGAAACCCAAAAGGGCATGAACTTTGCGACCGTTGCAGGCGGTGGTGTATCGTCAAACACGAATTCTGGCTCATCTACGGCTAAGTTTGATAGTTCCCCACCGCAGGTATGTCGTGGACAATGAATCATCTATTTGTTTCTTTAATATTTATTTGTATGACAACACATACGAAACAGTTTTATGTAGAAAAGCTACAAGATTAAAACGAGAAAATTATAATTCTTTGTAGTAATAAGAGTTAACTTCTCCAAGGCATCATCTTTCTTTCTTTCTTTTTGTTTGTACTCTTACGATATACTAACATTTCTTATCAGAGAAAAAAACCAGTGAAATATTATAAGTTTTAAATTTTGTCGAACACAGGTAGATGCATCCAAAGCTCCGGGGTATCGCGGTACAACCATGTGTTCTCCGGTTTCCAGCAAGCCGGGTAGCACGAGCAATGTATCGACCAATGTAATTGGCAACGTGGTAACAGGCTCCGTGCATAGCAATCCGATGCAGTCCGCGCAGTTTCAATCTTCGACAAGTTATAGCGAACACCCGCTGCCGAACAAGCCGCCCGGTAGTCTAGCAGTGGCCAGACCAGTAATACCCCAACAGAACATAGACATGGGGACGAGCATGGCGGCGCAGTTCAACAGGCCAGCGGTGTTTCAGGGTGACCTGACAACGCGCAACACGACGACGCATCAGCCGGCTACGCACGTAATACCGTCCACGTCGCAGCCGGCACTCGACGTCAATCTGTTCAAGGCGGCGAACAGCGGCGGTGGCAGTTACGAGCATCCGAACGTAAACTCTAGCCTGTTGAAAATGATGCCGAACGATAGTCAGAGTGGCGCCGGCCATTCTTTACTACCGTTCCATCCTCACATGCAGAGTTTCGCTCAGACTATCGCACCATCCGTTTCTGTGAGCAACACCCCCGTCAATGAGTCAAGATTGAATCCGCGTGCACCCGACTTTTCGAGTTCGCTTCATTTAAGCAATAAGCCGCAGGTGATGTTCAATGCTGCCGCGGCCGCAGCCGCCGGACCGGCGGGAATGCACCCAGCCAATATGTTTGCCGCCCCTGTGCCAGCGCCGCCGCCGTCCGCGATACAGTCCAACAATCTCGCGATGCTCGGCAACTATCCGCTGGGAAAATACCAGGCGCCGTCGCGGGCAACGCCGGCAGCAAACACCGGGATCTCGACGACGGTTCAGACGACCCGCTGGCCGTTTGCCACGCCGACGCCGCACACCAGCTACCGGCCGCATCAGGATCCTATGATTAGTCAAATGGGTTTCTCCAATCAACTGGCAAACATCGGCGGTCAACCCGGCGGTAGCATTGATTTGATCACGAGCTTGGAGAACGGTGGTTCACCGGCCATATCCCCCTCGTCACCGGCGCAAGTCGCTCAGGAGATGAGCCAATTGAAGATCGAGGACCGTAAGGTGCCACGGCCAATTGGTACCGAAAGGGCGAAGATATGGAAAAATTATTCATCAACTGGATTAGGTCCGGGCGGAGACGCCGATTCAATGGGTTGGATGATCAACGAGAAGCTAGCATGGTCGAATTGCAACCTGGCGCCTGGTCTCGACAGGCACCAGATGTTTCGATCGAATCCCACTTACAACCAACGTATACCTAACGTCGAGCCTGAGCTCCATCAGATGATGGATTCTACCTTCCAGGTAATTAGCCGATTCTCTCGTCTGATTATACTTTTATTATTATTCGCAACTTTTATTCAACTTTTTTATTCAATATCATATTTTGTGTAGTCGCTATGCATGGTGGTAAAAAAAGAGTTCAGGCCTTTAGAATATAGTAATCACTAAAAGCAATGAAAACCTACACAAGTTGAAAAATTCACTTTGTTATTCATCTTGTTTATACACGTTTGTGACTAACTTTATCGTGTTTAGGGCCATGTAAATGCGCAACAACCGTTCCCGACTAACGGAAATACGCCATTGTCACTCATGCCATTGGCGTTAATACCGGGGCAGTATGGTGCGTCCGATATGCAAGAAATCCAGCCGAACGAGCAGAATAAGATCGATCCACCTGCGTGGGGAATGTCTGATACCGTACAAGACAAACAACATCCGGTAAGATCTCTTTCTCCAGTTTAAGATCTCGAATTGGAAACGTTTCTCTTTTTTTTAAACTGTGAAACAACATGGTAATGCTACTGCAAAAAAGCTATAGCTAACTCTGTTTACTTGCAGGCGTGGACCCCTAAATGGACCCATTAAAGGGACAAGAACCGTTTGTGGTGGCATAGCTTCGACCTCTGAATAAAACATATTTTCATGTTTTGATCTGACGATGAGAAATGAAAAAGATAATGGCAAAATAGTCAGGGATCACTGGATTCAATTATTTGTAGGCACATAAATTATATTGCGATCTTATTATATTCATTCAAACCCAGATTCTTAATATTACTTGTCACACTAGGGGATAAGACGACGAATCCTTAATTATTCAATTTATTGTTATCACTAATATATCTCCCGAGTTGATTACAGAATATAAGCAGTGTTCAACAGTGAGAGGGAGGGAGAAAGTCCGTGTCGGTTAAGGAAAGTAATGTAGAATAATGATAACGTGATTACAATTGTATAATTATGTTTACCGGATCTACATGTCATCGCATAACAGAATATTTTCAGTGTCCTGTTGAGGTCTTTTTCTCAGCCGCGCAAACTGTTTTTTGCGCCGTCATCAATTGCCATTCAGCAGGGATATGCCACTCGCCGAGTATACTAATAATGATTATTTCTATCTCAAAAACCGATCTGAATTTGCAATATTCGGCCTGTATCTCGAAATACCATTCGCCAGATCTGCCATAATAATCCAGATACGCAAAAAATTTATGTTTCGTATCGACTTCAACAATGGCTTACATTTTGTTCAAAATTTTGTCAGTGAGCAATCTGTATTATTATGACAGATTTGTGGCGATTCAAATAAACATCGCGATGTGTTTTACATCGCTGCCACTTCAGCCTCTCTGGAGTAGCGATGTTAAACTTGATTGAAAAATTTTGAAACAAATACGAATTATCCGAGTCAAAGTTCTCGCTTCGGATTACGATTGATTTAAATCACGAACTGCTTATGCCGAGGATAGCTGTGCTCCTAGCACCATATCGAACGATAGGCGACGAAAATTACCGTGTTTACTACTTAGAATGCTGTAAAGAAAATGCTGTAATCTTACGAGCAGTGATACAATCGTGTAAATAATTGCTTCGCAAAACGGGTGATTCTGATTACTTCCACGCTGCAAATTGTGAGAACCGGGGGAAGACGGTCCGGATGGAAAACGAGAGGGATGTAAGGGGGGATCTTGGGGGAACCATTGGCTTCTTCGAACCTGGGGATACATATTGCTCTTCTTCCACCTTCTTGCACCTACGCTTAAACTCGTCACTGTCACTCCCGAGTTTGACTGTCGCTTCTAAGCCACCATGTCCCAGAACAGATATGTAGTAATTAGGAAATGAAAAAAAAAGACAAAAGAGGAGAAGCGTTTCTTCTCTTGTAGTTCTCGAGCGTTTCTTATAATTCTCGAACGTCGATTGCGTCTAATCGCACTTCGAAAAGCGTCCGAACTTGGTTCGCATAGACGAACGACTGTATAGACCTTTCTCTTATTGATGATTTTTATGTTGCGTCATCGAAGATACGAACAAAATACGAAAACGTTGAGCGACGTTGTTCCGACCGATTGCCTGATTGAATCGATATTTTCGTTGTCCAGCCGTTCCGGTTTTACATGTTGCGTTTGTTTTGTAGGCGCAATCCTTCACCGGGTAATTAACGATCGTAGCACGAAATCGCGCCCTGTGTCGGGCAGATCTATCGATTGACATGATCTTAGCGAGTTTTTATCGAGCTCACGTACACAAGGACACGCAGAACACGAAAATTCTATTACTGTACCGTACACCGCGCGTAAATGACCAGGTTCTTGGAAAAAAAGAAGTCGAATTTACGTAAGCGTTACAGGAAAAATGTGTTACGAATCGAAATACGCAATGTAACTAATAATATATATACCGAATCCTATTCAGATCAATGAATACAGTTTATTGTAAAAGTGGTAGTGGGCCGCCAAACGCATGAGGATATAGCCGTGCGTCTCTAGTACGACAGTGCTACTATAATATTATTATTGCTGTGGTGGTGTAATAATGTTTATTATTATATTATGGTTATTATTACACGCAAAACGTAACTATAGGAAAGAAAGACAAAAAAGAAAAAAAAACAGGTATATAGAGAGGGAGGGGAGGAGAAAGAGAGAAATGTCACCCTTGCTATCTCGGCTGGACTTAGTAATGATATAATATTATATAGATACACACAACACTCGGATATATGAAATGTTCATTTCGATTGAACATTTGAAAATCTTTCTTGGTGGGGATTTCGGCAAGTGTTCAATACATAGCGACGATATACTATAATTGAAACGGTCCCCACACATGCGCGCGTAAGTTTCAATGAGATGATGAGGATAATGATGATAATGATATGAAGCTCATGGAAATCGTACGAGGGCTTTTTGACCTATATTCCAGGGAGCGCTTCAATTATTCTCTAAGGATATATTGTTATAATTTAAAGCCTATTTTCAAATTTGATTTATGATAACTGCGATATATGATATAAAACTATTATATGACATATAACAATAAAGCAAATAAATGAATATAACGACGACGAATTCATTGCGAGCTCTTCATTACTGTCTTCGCCCGCTCTCTTCTCTTCACGGATACTCTTGTTTTTTTAATTTCAACCCTTTGGTTCTCGCTACTTCGTGCGATGCCTCGAACGACTGAGTCTTGCCAATTATCGATATCTCTTATATTAAATGCAAAAGACTTTATCGGTTGATTTACGGGTAATGTGGGCAAATATATGTAAGAACAATTAAATTGTTTCCTTTAACCAAACTCCAATTTAAATTAAAAAATCTATTTCAGAATTATTCTTATTTCTTTCCAATTTCGTTTTTCGAAATACTAAGTTATTAAATTTCTAAGTTTTTAATTTTCTTTTCCAGATCGAGGAATAGACGGTGAATGAATTTTTGCACAAGGTCGATAGAGACTGCTACGTATAACATCCCTGATAAGATCCCAAAATAATATCTTAGGGTTTATAATGTTATACATGATAAATATTTAACGTCTATAAAGTTAAAATTGTTCGCGTTTCTCATCGCTTTGTCAAGGCACTCTCGTCCAGATTAATCGATGATAATAAACTTTTCCGAATCTTGATCCGCTGGGTGTGTGTCAGGTTTTTAATTGAAGTCTCTCGAGAGGAATATCCACGAGTATCGACTCTCGTCGAGAATCATGGAAAGAAAACCAAGCACAATGGTTTATCATAGAAAAATGTTTAATTTAAGAGATAAGCTTGTATGTTAATAATATAAAAAAAGAGAAGAAAACAAAACTTACAACATCTTTAATAGAGAACATTTTTTTATAACAGTCATTTTTTTACATTACATAACAAATTATAAAAAATCCAGAACGTTACGCTATTTTGTCGCATCAGCTCGACAATATATCTGAGAGAATCTCAAATCGTTGTTATAAATTACGCTTGCGCTTTTAAATTCCACGTGAATCCTTCTCGCCATTGTTTCGGCTGATGCGATAAAATTTGCGATTTATTGTATACAGTAAAAATAATAAATATTTACATGTTACAGCACATTTTATACAGAAAGTCAGTACTGCTCGAAAAAGTTGGTATTGATTGTCAAACATGAGTTGACAGCTTTCTTTCTGTCTCTCTCTGAATCGACTACACATATAATCATGACTACAATCATTATATATAAAAAAATATATTCGTACAAAATAAATATATAATTACATGACGGTCGATTGACATGCCTCGTGATCACACACAATTATTAGACTCCCCTTTAAGTAGCCGGCGCATAAGTAAAACGAGTAAGTAGAAAAACGTGGAAAAGAAATGAAAAAACCGATTTCGCCGCTAGACGGACGACGACCGTAATCGCCGTACACGACTTGTGAAAATCAATTCATCTGACGGACAATCGTACACGCGTATCTAGTCGATCACAGAGAGTCCAAATTCTCCAAGGATTTGTGAAATCGCGCCCGAGCGACATCGGGAGACCGAAAGCGTTCGCTTTAACAGACGACCACGTGGCGCATACGTATATACACTCGCAAATACATGTGTGTATGAAATAAATAAACGACAGGATGATCCACGAAATAATATCTCTAATCTGTCTCCTCTGCATATCCGGCGGAAACCATAACGATAAATAAAGCTGTTTATACAAAGCGGAAGATAATCCTCTCGTAATCTATGATCTTATAAAAAAAAACCTCTTACTGTAAGGAACAAAACGCTTGTTTCGTGGGTGGCAGCCGGGTCCTCCGAGAGCCGAATCGTCTCCACGGCGAGATGGCTCTCCCGCAAGAACCTTGTCTCTTTCTCTTACACAGCGGAATAATGAAAAATAAAATCTCTTACGTGTCGCGTGAGATTAGAAGTGTTATTACATATTTAGTTTACTTATTCTGCGACCTATCAATTTTTCTCTCGCTCGCCTTTCTTTCTCACGCATATATATTATGTATATACAGACATTTCCATACATTCGCATTTGTTTCAAACGTTACTCACACAATGCGATCGCATTGAATCAAAGTAAGTTTACGTCCATATTATAATTATCTATAATAAACTTGCACACAACCGTTTTTCATTTCTTACAGATATATATGTATATATATATATATATATATGTATGTCTGCAATAATGACTTTGACAGAACCGTTCTTCTTTCACATGCATACAAAGCATCCTGGCAAAATCGTCCCCATGATCTGTTCTCACGCGTACTTTCTCCCCCCTATTATTTTTTAAAACATTTTATTACATTTATCTCTCGTACAGCTCACAATCAGTCAGACGCCCGCGGCGGCGCACGACTGTTATTAACGACAGCTCGTCAAAGATTATTGCGTCATTTTTTGTATTATCTTGTAAATTCGCTATTCTATCTTTCCTCTGGCTCATATAAAAATAACACGCAATGCGAAGCTATCCAACATTGCTTTGTACATTCGCCCGTGCTCCAATGAAACAAAGTTGAACTTAACAAATCTAAAGAGTGTTCATTGCCAAACTATCGACGATTATCCGTACTATTGAGAAGCTATTAATGTAACTTAATGTAGACATGTGAATGCGATTACCGATGCGGGACCGGCAAAGTATTTTACAAGACAGAATCATTTTTCTATCGTACCTTAATAATTCTTACAAAACTTAACAGGAAAAAATTCGTTTTACAAAAAAAGGAGAAATATCTTAATAAAAGTACATGATTTGTTTATCGTTCCATTTTCAAATCTGTAACGAAAGACAACTAGCGGTTCTATTTGTAATTACGGAAATAGCGATGCGAGTAACGACAGAAATAATAACACGCGTTGAATCATTAATTAACATTAATTTTTAAATTAGCCCAGCAGTACCAAACGTACGACGTTTGCCCGCGTGCTGCTTAGCCATCAGGCAAAGTGTCATCTCTGTCGGCGTCAATCAGTGTCAAGAACCGCAAAGAAACTATTCGGCGTTTAAGCTATTAACATCTCCGACAACGTTCGCGTTTACGTGTGTTAAAGTGTGTTACCATTCATTCTGATAATAAAATAATGCCGTAATTTTTTTAATAGAACACGCCAATGGATCTCCATCAATTTCAACGACATTTTACAACGCTCTGCATCTCAACCGTGCAACAGTTCTCAGTTTAAACGCAGAGAATGTAAGATCCCACAGCTGAAGAGAGTGGACCCGTATCACTGCTCGAACACTACTTTATTCCACACTAGACGTAACGAGCCGCGAGTATTATCATTTTGCTTTAATTACGTTTACAATTAATCTCGTATTTACACACATCGCTTAGTTAAAACGTAATACAATTTTTTCTAACGTTGCTACACTCTCACTTTGTCATTTGCAATAAGGAGAGACGTGCTGAAAGTCTATTATTTACATTTTACACATACGAAGTAGATTAAATAGATTATCTGTGATAGAGAAGAAATAATTGCGGATAAGCGCGGTAAGCTAAAAGCAATCTCGATCGTTTTCTTATAATCCTCGCGTAAATTGTAAGCATAGTGGACAACTATCAGTTGTGCTATTAAGGTGTGAATCTAGAGGGGAGGGGGGCAAAATACATTTTGCGTGCAAGAGTGACAATATCTTATGTACATTATCGTGAGCGTCGCTAAGTTACCGTACAAAAAAGGAAAAAAAATCACGGAAGTATGTGGAATTGTGTATAAAGCCCGCGACAGACGGTGCAATTTTATCTGCTGGATTGCTTAGCGATTTTGCCGACTCCACTGGTCACGCTGAATTCTCATGATAAGACTACATTTCGATCTCGTATACTCGGAGATGTTGAGATCTCTGTATTTTTTAAACAAATTTCAATAGTGTGGACTATGAATCCCCTGCTAGTACGATGAAGGAGCTGCCCCTCCACTGCCTTTATGGCAAGATATTCTCGGTGGGTTGCCTGTTCCCACTGAGAAGCAATCAAATAAGAATCAATGATGTTTTGGTCAGTTTTGAAATCGGATCTTTTTGTTCACTAAGCAGCGCGCATCTCTCCGTGCCACGATCGCCACTTTGTGATAAGTCGAATGATATTTTTCTTGCGTGCTTTCGCGCTAGCTGATTGTGAGAGCTGATCAGGATGCCTTATGTCGAGGGCATTTTCTTTGTACCAAGTGTCGTTTGTTTGAATTGAACACGTGGAGAAATGTAATGCTCATCACATGTTGCAAAAGTAATAAGAAAATTGGACAAAATTATTTCAATTTTGATAGTCGACGACTCACAAAGAGAAATCGTATCTACATACGGACATGTCCCATTGCCATGTTGAACCATGTTCAAAGTGAGGTACTAAAAAATGTGTATTGATATCAGCCAGCACAAAAATCCGCATTGTCCGAAGCCAAGCTAGCAAACGCGCCAGCAGCACTGCTACATACATAGCAGCAAGCACGCAAATCGAGCAAGCAAAAACGCAGCGCGAGCCGTGGGCTTTACAGACTAAGTATAGATCCCTCGATTTGTGCCGTCTGAAAGTAAAATATTAAAAAAAGTATATTTATAACTAAAAATTGAACGTGTTGCATATACGTGTGCTTTGCGACACGCATACATTGCCACGTTCCCACAAACAAAATATTTGTGTAGCCGTGTAAAGGTTTCTTCACCGAAATCTTGATGTCTCGAAAAAACCGAGTGGATATATCTGTGAAAATGCAGTAACCATCATATCGCACAAAGTAACTTCATGTGCATTAACTTTTCCACTGAATACCTCAGATTTGTAGTCAATGACTCCTGGCCATATATACATGTGAATTAATGCTAACATAGTGCGTATACCTTTTACATTACATGTCGAGGACTTAAACTTACGGTTCTGTTGTCAACAGTTACGAAACAAAACAAAAATAACCGACTCAAATCTCAATCATCGCAGCTGTGTAGCAACCTTAGCAGCTTGAAAACTTTATTTAGTTCAGACTTTATTCACACTATTTTTTTTTAAATAAGTGCTATTTCCCTTTCTCGCTTTTCAAATAATTCATAATTTCAAACTTATCAATTATTGTACATATCTGTTTCAATATTTCGATGTAGAAAATGCTCATTTTAACATTAAAAATATATTTTGGGAACAACTTACAGCTGAAGCAGATATGCGCTCTGCAAGATATAAACCTTACTTAGCACTTAAAATACGTTGCCAGACCGCGTAGGATTATTTATTTCTAGTTGAAGCTAGGGAATGGTATAATATATTTATCTGATAAAATTATTCTCTTTGAGAATCATTATTGGAATGGATTCTTATTAAAACCTATGTAAAATAATAAGATTAAACTGTTATTAGACCGTTACGGAGTGTGAATAAAGTCTTATTTTTTTACAGCTTTCAAACTTACTTTGTTTTAATTTAAAATTGAGAATTAATTCATAATAATTATATATATATATATATATATATATATATATACATATATATCCGTGCGTGCGTGCGTGTGTGTGTGGGGGATGTTCCGTCACAAAATTCTTATATCAATAAGTTAAATAATTATTACATGGAAATCAGTAAGCTTTTATCATGAAGTCTTATACAACAAAGTGCTCATATCTTGGGAACAAAGCTAAATTGATCTATGGTGTACATGAACATTGTTGCTCGGAATAATTATCCGAACACGCTGGCAAAGCTTGTGGCGGTTTTATGACGGAACATACCGCATATATTGCATGCTCTGGTATATATACGCAATATTTGGTAATGTATCATTTTGATTCGTAACTGAGCCATAAAAATTGCACCGTTTACTTATCACTGTACACAGATGATCGCAACAACTCCTGGTAAAGATCGATAGAATAACATCAAATTATTAGCTATGCAGTTCCAGTTTTCCGATGCTGCGTAGTAGTGTAAGATTTATTCGTCCACTTTGCGCTCGTTGCTTTGACCGTTAGCGTCGGCGTCGGCGTTCGCGTCTTCTGACAGATCATCATCCGCGCCTGAAGACAAAAACATAATATAATTAAATAAAGTAAGATGGAAGAATTGAAACGAGAAATAATGGAAGAAGAGGAAGAGTATCCGTTGTTAGGTATAAGGTCAACATGTAAGAATTAAGTTAACTCAATAATAAACTTCAGACTTACACGTCTCTTCCTCCTCATCTTCCTCTTCTTCTCCGGAAGAGGAATCGCTGTCGCTATTTGTGCTCTCGGAGTTTGCCGAGAGGGAACATTGATCGTATTGCTCAGGTTCGGAATAGACCTCCGCGCCAGGGAAAATATATCTGCCCGGTGCCAATTGGTAATAGGAATTTTCTGTAAAAACAATTGCCGTGTTAATACTTGTGCTAATTATAAGAATGCCAGAGTATTTGTGGTATGTAAAACTACACGGTAAATATGTACCTGATAGTCTGGTAGCGAGGCTCTCCCGAATCTTTGGTTGCCAGCAGTGTCTCTCCAATCTTCTGTTCTTCAACTCCGCTATATCGAACTTTTCCTCTGTGCTGTCGATGCTGTTACAACTGTCGCCTATGCCGGAATCCAGTACGGAGTCCACCGATGCTTGTCTCGGTTTCGGTATCGTTTTATCCAACTCTGCAGCGTCTACATTCGCGGCATCGTCATACTTATCCGATTTTCCACGCTTGTTCAGCGATTTGTGAGACTCCAAGGTGTTTTCGCTTATTACAGCTTCCGACGAAAGGGACAATATTGTGGGCACCACCTGACATTCTTCCGAATTGTTCTCAAACGTCGATCTTGCGGACGTGATCTCGCTTTCCGAAGAAATCATTGCGCACTCGGCATTCGCTGGCGACTTGGAACTCACAGCTTCCGTCTCGTGCGTGCTACCGAAATTCATCCTCTTAGGACTATTTTCTATACTAGTGTCACCCGATCGTCTTTTCGGACTTTCTCCCAGAAGATTGAAGCTCTTGTCTGGGTTTTCCACGTACGAAGATGATACGCAGGCATTGATGTCGTCCGTGTGCTGTGGCACCGCGTTCGCAGCGATCGAAAGGCTATCCTGACTTTCGGTCGATGATACATTGTGAGGTTTTAAATCGACTTCCACGCTATCGCGCGACACTTCGGTGTTACTTGTCGTGTCTTGACTCTGTTCCCACGTGTCGTCGGACAGACACCGCAATGGCAAGAGCTGCGAGACCTCTTTCAGAATTTTGTCGTACCAACAGACTTCTTTATAAGTGTCGCCCATTCTGCACAATACCGAATCAACATTTTATAATTGTCGCGATTAAAACAATCATTGTATTGAATTGGTGTTAAGTAAAACAATTTATTATATATGCAGATTTTTAGTGTACATATATGTCAACGTAAAGAAATTAAATGCCAACTCTAAGGGATATTTAAGTACCAATAATTATTATATGTTCAACTCGTAAAGCCTTCGTATAAAAGATTAATCTTACTTACAAATGACATATTTGATTTATAATAATGTCACCATCTCCCAGTAGCTCAACGTCAAACTTGAGATGTGGCAATGGTTCTCGGTTAATAAGGATCTGCGGTACGTGCGACGGAATGGATGAAGGAATTAGGGCTACCGGCCGAACCTTCAAGGACGATCCGATAACGATTAGAAGATCGCAATCGTCCTTGTCTTTGGCCATCGCGTCATGGAAAGCATCTGGGAGCCCTTCGCCGAAGAAGACGATATCTGGCTTCATTATACCTTGCGACACCAGATCTGAGAATTACACGACAGAGCATTCAATTAAATTAAAATTCAATTCAATTAAAATTGATCTAAATCAAACAAAATTAAGTTGAAATGGCATTTTGTACGTTCCGCTCAATCGTAACATGTAACACTGTCGAATTGAGGAAACGGCAAACGACCTAGGACAACAAACGACAAGCCGCTGTTCCGAATAGCCGCGAAACACGGCACTCACACAAGTAAGTGCAATCTTATAAGTTTTACCTTTATGCGCCTATTAACAAGCGAGCTTTATTCGCAGTTACAATTGATGTATCAACTTATGCGTTGAATCAGTAACTTCATTTAGTTCGAGACACGTTCCGAGAAGAGTAGATAACGGTTCTCTCATTGGCCATCGACTCGCGACATTATAGCAAAGGCTAATAACCGGAAAACTATCACTAAAGATAGTTAACCCTCCGTATCATATCGAAATTGATAAGCCATTATGAAAGACTGCAAATAAATACACTATCAGCAAGGATCACGTAGAAATAAGTCGCTCTATTTACCTCTGTAGTTCTCGCTGCAATTCACCTCGGATAGGGAGGGCAACGCGTTGACACGGCATTTCGGACACGTCGGTATCCTCTGTGCGAAGATATCCTCCCTGATGTCGTCCGCTCTGACTTGGTATTTACATCGTGTACACGACGCGGTGGCGAAGGAGCCTTCAACAGAAGACATTCGGTGATTAAGAAACGTAAATGCACACAACTGTGAGTTTGCATAAGCTTGCACGCTACAAGATAAACTACATAATCTTGTTAAGAAAATATAAAATCAAACATTTTTGCAAATGTATTATAAATGATTTAGATTAATTCAAACAACATAAACACCAAAATATCTATACTGTATCACGTCAAAGTTTAATCATGCAAAACGCCTTATTGTAAATAATAATTTTCAAAAATACAACTTTACTGAAATACGTTAGAAGAGTAACGTTAACGTAAAATAATGTAATAGTGGCAGAGAATAGTAGTAAAAAAAAACAAGATAAATTTTGAAGAACTGCAAAATGCGTTTTGTTCCTACAAATCTATCAGGATGTGCGTGCGGCCTGCTTAAAGTTTTATGATTCAGACTCGTCCTGAGTCGAAGTCGAAAATACTGCAATATTATTTATCAAGATTATCTTTACACAAATACATTTAATAAATTGCAATGATCTCAAACATTAACTCCTAAAATATTGAATGTAGTATAATATGTAGTACTTAAAAATATATACTATCCTATGTACTACTACATTATGTTGTTACATATACATATATTATGCAGAAAAAACCAATGATAAGAATTAATTATTTTTAATGTTAATTCAAAAGAGGCTTCCCAATGGTCACAGCATTGAAAATTGTCATAGTATATTCATTAAAAAAAAAAAAAAAAAAACTGACAGACCTTATGCAGCTGTTAATATAGTAAAAAAACCAATATATCATTTATATTCTTTTTATGTGTAACATATACTTACCATGGCATTCAATCACGTTTTCGATACCAGCGACCTGTTCCAAAGTGTCAATATTTTGTGAATAATTTCTCAAGAGCTTCTTCTGCTTGTCTAACATTTTGATGAACCTGTGACAAGGGCTAGGTTTAAATTGCCCTGGATATATCTCGCGCGCAAATTTGTAGAATGGCCTGGGATCTTGACTAAAATAATTAATGTCGAACATTGCCTAAAAGTACAAATTAAGAAACACAAATTAGACAAATACTTTTTGAATTATAACAGCTTGTTAAGAACATTAAAAGGAGTAAACGTGTTATGAGCTGCTAATTCAAATATCATAATTATAAAGCCGAATGAAGTACCTGTGGGTCCGGTAAATCTGGGAAATCCTGTGCTAGTCTTGAATAAATACCATCTCTACTTCTAAAATCAGGAATACCGCAGCTGACGCTAACACCCGCGCCGGTCAATACTATAATTTTCTTGCTATTGCAAATTAATCGTACCACGTCGGATAAGGTATTTACGTGTTTGAGTTTTTGCCGTCTCGGAGGCTCGGACATCATGTTGATTATGATCTGAAAATCAGTACAATCGAGAGTGTTACACTTTGCGCAACAATCTCTTTTGCTTAATCTCAAAAATACTGCAGATGTGAGAGAAGTTATATATCTATACCTTCCATAATGTGAGATCGTCGACCTGCTCAGGGATCTGGGTGGAGTCCATGAGGAGGTGGTGTAGGAGATCCCTGGGATCCGCGCCTGTCAGCATCTGTTTCTGAATCCACGAAGAGGCGTTTCTCCACTGATGACTGATCTCCGCTTCGCCAGAGAGGTCGGACAATCCTGATAAATCCGACAGGTTTGAGACAGTGGAGGATACCTCATCTTTCTCATCTGTGGTGTCAATCCTGAAACGATAACGTGTAATTAGGCAAGACGTAAATTTAAAAAGTTATTGAATATGTTCTGGCGAGCATAAAAATTACGAGTATTACGAAGGGTTGGTCACTAGCGGTTATAGTGTACAAAAATGACCCTTAAATTACCTCAGATTACTCAAGATTACCTAATACTACCTCAAATTACTCCAGTCTTTTTGTAAAACAGTGGTCCATAATACTCGACATAATCTTCTCTATCTATTAACAAATGTAGTTATTCCCTTTTCTATTTCTTCAATGTCTTTTTCCTCAATTGTAAATAAACTCTCACTGCAATATCCAGTTTCTTGTAAGAGTTCGATCAAATAATTTAGCAATTTACTGTTCATCAGTGTCTTTTCCGTGTTGTTTGCAACCAGTAGTTCCCTCGATGATTGTCCAGAATTTTCCATTTTGCTTAATTTCAATAAAATAATAAATCACAAAAAATTGTAATCAAAAACTTTACTAAGCACAGAGTGAATTATATAGAATTATCCCAAATATATTGGATTACCCAAGATTCGGTTGGATTGCCGCTGAATTACCTAGCCCTTGTACAAAGATTACGTCAGTGACCAACCCCTCGGAGTACTACAAACTACTCTTGTGTAAAACTTCTGGAAAAAGTAACTGAATCCTTCACATTTTAAACTATTTTTTTATTCATGTATAACATTTCAGACTTTTATATTTTTTTTAATTCTCCAATTATTTTTGGTAAATATTTTAAGGCTTCTGGGCTCGCCACGGCCATGTTGGAAATCGTGACGTCAGAAGCGAGAAATGACACTAGGCTTGTTTTCTGTTCCCGCACTAGTGAACTAGTACAGTAAGCTAGAATAGAATGAGAAAAAATATACTTGTCTCACTCTAATTTATTGCACTAGTTCAACAGTGCAGGAATTGAAAACAAACCTACTGAGAATTCTTGCGCTTCATAACTACAGAACAAGATTCTCAGTGCCATTTCTCGCTTCTGACGTCATAATCCAACATGGCTGTGAGCACTAAGGAGGCTTAAGATAAAATGAGGATAAATTTAAAGAGAAAGATACTACTAATGTCAGCATCATATCAACATATAGTCTAACACAAAAAATTTACTTTCTAAGAAAATAATGTTTGATACTTTTTATTTCACATATGTACGAAATTGTAGAAACTTACGGGCAGCCGGTATCGTTACTGGTGGAGTCGACTCTCGATGATGGTGATATTAAATTTGTAGCTGCGGGAGATATGGAAGCTGATTTGGATTCATCGCTCAGTTCGTTGAATCCACTGTCCGTACCAAGTGCTTCTGTGTTAATAACAGTCATAATATATTTAATATAGTTTACACTATTAATAAAATAACGTATATTAAGACTACTACTTTTTTAAGGTGACAATAAAATAGATTAAGTTCATGATGGTATTAGACTAACACATAAAAGCTCATTTTTTTATTACCTTGCATTAGTAAAGGCAAGTACAATTCTATTTATACATTTCCAAGATAAATCAACAATTACAACAATTACAAAATTAATTATTACCTAATTCACACAAATTCAATGGAACAAACAAAAGAGTCGTAGATATAAATGAATTAGATTATACTCGGCTACAAAGTAATTATATTAAAATAATAAAAATAGTACTTTTGTGGATGTAAAAATTGATGTATTTGATTACAAGATAATCATACGAGTATAGTATGCGATCCAAAAAGTCAGTCTCTGCACACAGATACATTACTTTTACGCCAAAGCGATACTTAAAACAAACAGCCCGCTGACATTCTAAGATGACGGATAAATAAGAGGTTTGTTCTTTTTTACAGAATTTCTTTTTTTCTCATCACGTTGGAGAAAAAAGGGATAAAAGACCTTGGCTAAACAGAACAGACTTAACAGCAAAATCATCAGGTTTGTTCGTCGTAATATAACTTCCTCATCTCTCTTCTCTTTTCTTCCAAGTGTCTAATCTATCGCATTTCAAGTGCAAAAAGTATGAGCGCAGTTACAGAGCGCCCGTGTACAAAGTGTTCAAATGCAAATGAACACGAACAGACCGAAAGCGAAAGTCGGAAGATTCTCTGCTGACTGCAGAGAACAAGACGCTTACGTCTGCGTAGTCGTAGACGTAAGGCAGAAAAAACATGGGGTCAGAGCACTAAGCGACGTAATAGCTTACAGCAAGACGTAAGTTATAAACGTAGATAGCGCACAAGCTTTGACTATGTCGTATTAACTTCCAATTATATACGACGTTACGTTTACGCCAAAGCTTTGCGCTATCTACGCTTACGACTTACGTCTTGCCGTAAGCTACTGCGTCGCTTCGGGCTGACCCGTATGTGCGCTCCGTCACTTCACGTTTACACAATAACCTCACGACTTACGTTTTCTCTGCTTCGCCTTACGCCTACGACTGGCGACAGACATAGGCGCTTACGTCTCGTTTTCAGCCATCAGCAGAAGCAAAGCACAACGCAATGTAATCGCCTACGACAAAGACGTAAGCGTGAACGTAGATCACGCACAAGCTTTTACGTAAACGTAACGTCGTATGTAATTGGCGGTAAATACGACATACGCCAAAGCTTGTGCATTATCTACGTTTACGCTTACGTCTTTGTCGTAAGCTATTACGTCGCTTTGTGCTCCGACCCGAAGTAGGAGCCAGGAGACCGTGCATAACGAGCGAATCGAACAAACTTGTGCGAATGCCATCTGCGAACGCAAACGGGAAGCGCTAGCGCGCCCAGCAATCTCCCGATACGATCGATCGATCGACGCCCACCGTGGGAACCGAGGGATCCGTCGTATCTCGGGCGAAAATCGGAAGAGGAGAGAAAAAAAGGGCTGAGAATAAAAATGTATCCCGCGACGTTGATCGAGGCGACGGCACTCGGTGCCGATCGATCGATCACGGCGCGGGAAGCGCGGCTACGTAAATCGCCAACGTGATCGGTCGCGACTGTCATGGCCGCCGTTGGACGGCCGCGCGACCGAAACGGAAGAGACGCGGAAGGCAGACGGGCGAGAAAGGCGGCCGAGCGCCGCCATCTTGCGCGCGACGCACCCGCGAATTTTCGTGGCGTTAGGCGCGATCGCGCGTCCGCCCAGCCGGATTTCGATACCTTCGAGATCGTCGTGCGGGCTGTCGCGCGATGTCTCGCCGGGCCGCGGGTCCGTCGACGACGCGCTGTTGCTCCCGTGGCCATCGCCGCCGCCGCCGCCGTCGACCTTACGACGCTTCACCGGGGACGAATATTCCAGCAGCTCCGAGCTCGACGCCATTTTCGACAGCAATGCAACGCATAGTGCGATGCACTTCGGCCCACGGCCTGCCGCGCCAGAGGTCGCCCCGGCCGTCCTGTCTTCCCCCACCCCGTCGTCCGCCCCCACCCACGCCGACCGCGTCCCGCCCTGCACGCCACATCCCGCTGATTCCATCACTTCGCGCCGTTCGGCACGGTTCGGCGCGTCTCTCTTCCGTATGTTGATTTTTGCGTGCGTCGATGCCGTGTATCCTGGACGAACGATGCACTGCAATGCACGACGATGATGGACGATGATCAGCGATGATCGCCAAGACCAGAGGGTCAATTCTGTATCTTACGCTATAGTGAAAATGCTAAAAGGGAGTAGCTTTGTCCCTTTCTAACTGTCCCCTTAGAAAGAGACAAAGCCGCTCACTTTTAGCATTTTCACTATATCGTAAGCTACAGAATCGACCCTCGGGCGACGCGGCTCGCGGCGTGTACTTAAGTGAAAATTTGATTTTGAATTTATTTCAGGATACTTCGAAAATCTTCATTTCTATAAAGAATATTATATCGGCGGTACATACAAATGTTTTTTTTTTTGCGGAAATTGCAGGTTGAAGAAAGTAGATTGTACACGCGCATTTAATTACTGATGTTACGTAATGTTTTTTTTCTTCAATCACATCTCGATGTTCAGAGACATACGTATGCGTGATGCCAATCAATTAGGTGCAACGCGGTCAGTCGCGATTTCGAGTAAGCGGGATAAAAATTTTTTATTACAATCAAAATTCACACAAAAATAACACCGGTGAATATGCACGTGCAGTTATTAATATTTCACGAGGTTGTTTCCAATTCTCCTCCTCGCGAATAACGCAAAGTCAGAACGATTAATTAAATAACCGTTCGGTGCATCCGTTTATCTAATTTGAGTAGTTGGGCCACGAAGCCATGTACCGTTACCGAGCGAAACTACGCGCGTAGTTGACGTCTACTTTCTCAGGGGGCGCATTTGTTCTCCTGCACTCATTGGCCACCGTCGGCTTTCTTTCTGCTGCCAGGATCGAAATCAGCCATTACCTGTCATCGATAAACTGTCAACGGTGTCGGCGAGGAAACCGAAAACACACTCAAACGTACAATTGCTAAACAAAGTGTTAAAGGAGACAGGAGGAAATCTCTGTTTGAGAGAAGGAACAAACGCCGAAGAGGAGAAGGTAGAAAGGAACGAAGGCAGGAAGAAAGTAGATTCAAATAGATCGAAGACGCGAGGAGACCGTCTTTCGCGCCGCGCGAGTCAAGCCCACGTTCGCTCGCTCGTCCGTCCGTCCGTCCGTCCGTCCGTTCGTCAAGATTCAGTTCAGTCTGATTCTAGGCCGAAACTCGTGCCAGTCGCTCGGCAATTATGAGCTCCGATTACACGCAGAGGCGATGGAGCAATTTGCGGAAGGTGCTGGAGAGATCGGGCCCGTTTTGCCGGCCGGACTTCGAGCCGTCCACCGACAATCTGCATATGCTCCTGGACCACTGCAAGGTGCTCGTCGTGGGCGCCGGCGGTCTGGGATGCGAGCTGCTCAAGAATCTCGCCCTGATGGGCTTCAGGCACCTCCACGTAATCGACATGGACACGATCGAGCTGTCTAACCTCAATCGGTAGGTTCAAGTTGCACGGCGCGAGATTTCATTTTAATTTTCATATTACGGTGTATTTTTTCTACACTACGATGTTATAAAATTAGTAATTTTAATACTATATAATATTGGAATATATAAAAATTTTTGTATATTTATTTTTACAGTTTTTATATATTCCAATATAATAAGCTAATTTCCAAGCATAAAGATTCGAGCACTGATAATATTTAGAGGTGCGACATTTTGATGTTATTTTTGTGCTTTGTTTTTGCAGATTTTACATTATTTTGATAATGCCGTAGTCAGAGGTGGGCAGGGCTTCAATAAGACGACTTAGGCCCGGTTTCACCAACGTCGTTTAACTTTAAACTTATTTTAATTCGTTCTTTGCCTCTTTCTAAGGTAACAGTTGGAAAGAGACAAAGAACGAATTAAGCTACCGGGCCTTAATGTTTTGATAGAACAATACGATGTTTATTAAGACTAAACACATGTTAAAAATGTAACATATAACATATTAAAATAGCATGGAACAAATTACTGAAATTACATATCATTTTCAGGCTGTAAAAGCAGTAACATGTCTAGTAAAAGTAAACGAGAACTAGTGTTAGGCATAAATCTCTTTGGTTCAGGATACAACATTGACATTAGAAATGTTTACTAAGGAAAATTGCGATCTTTGACGTTATTTGGATACTATTTTGCGTTTTAAAAACTTATTAAAACACAGTTGGGGACTCCAAAATGTAAAGAAATGACATTAAAATCGTTCCTAGGGCATTTTACAATAGTTTGCGTATAAAGATAACATCAAAATGTCACACCTCTAATATTACATGATTCTGTTTTTATCTTCGAGCCTGTATTGAAGACGTTGACACGGTTTGCGCAAAAGATTATTTCAACACATGTCCAAAGTCTGAAGAAAGTAATTTGTATCGCTATGAACAATGCAGACAGTTCCTGTTCCGACATAAAGACATTGGATCCTACAAGGCGGAGACAGCTGCAAAGTTTATCAGGGCCAGGGTTCCCGGTTGCAATATAGTCGCGCACAACTGCGAGATACAGGCTAAAAGCGAGGCGTTCTTCCAAAAGTTCCACATGGTGATCTGCGGCTTGGACTCGATCGTCGCGAGAAGGTGGATCAACGGTATGCTACTGTCTTTGCTCGGCTACGACAATGGCGAGTTGAATCAATCCACAGTGATACCCCTGATCGACGGCGGGACCGAGGGTTTCAAGGGAAACGTTCGAGTTATATTACCCGGTATGAACCCCTGCATCGAGTGCACCTTGGACCTCTACCCGCCACAAGTGAGTCCAATCTCCAAAATTCATATTCCCGAGATTCGACATTATCAACTGGCTAGTGCGCATCGTATGTTAGAAACTTATTTGTACCTCACATAGGTCACATATCCTTTATGTACGATAGCCAATACGCCACGTTTGCCCGAGCATTGTGTAGAGTATGTGAAGGTAATGCAGTGGCCGAAGGAGAATCCATTTGACTGTGCCATCGACGGGGACGATCCTCAGCACATAAACTGGATTTACGAGAAGTCGAATGAAAGGGCGAGTCAATTTGGCATACAGGGCTTGACGTACAGATTGGTGCAGGGTGTCGTCAAGAATATCATACCAGCAGTGGCGTCTACGAACGCCGCTATCGCCGCTGTCTGCGCGACAGAAGCGTTCAAACTCGCAACCAGTTGTAGCGCGTCTTTAACTAATTACATGGTAATTACACGACAAGTCAGTAATGCACTTTGTGTCGTGGACAAAATATAAGTCAGATTACGCGTTGAAGATTGAGTATTGAAGATTAGAATTTGATCAGAGCACTTCAATCTTCGTCTGTTTTTCCCTGTAATTGAATTCTAATCTCCAATTGCAGTCCAACAATCTCATTATGTCAATAGGATTTCAATGAACAATTAAACAAGGATGCGATTTCATTTTTAGGTGCTCAATGACCTGGACGGAATTTACACGTACACTTATGAAGCAGAAAGAAGAAAAGATTGCGTGGCGTGTAGTCAAATACCGCGAGAGATCGAGATCAAAGATTCCAAATATAAACTGCAGAATTTGATAGACCTTCTCTGCGAACGGCCGGATATGCAAATGAAAAATCCCGGTCTTACGGCTATTATAGACGGTAAAAGTAAAACTCTGTACATGCAAATGGTAGCGAGCATCGAAGAGAAGACTCGCGAGAATTTGTCCAAGACTTTGATCGAGTTAGGTCTAAAAGATGGTACTGAAATAAACGTTGCCGATGTCACGACTCCAAGTACAATTACTCTGAAATTGAGATTTGTGCAGGGCGATAGCGCGAGTCAATAATTGTTCCGAGAAACTTACTTTTCAGGCATTTCTCGTATAATATAGCTACGCTGTTCGAATTTGTGAGAAAAGTGGACCGAAAATTAAGACGAAATATAACAAATCCAAAAGTTGCTCGTACAAGATTGCATGTTACGTATATTCTACGTTTCTATCAGATGTCACTTTATCGCATGCAGGATATATCGAAATTAGCAGAGCTGCGATTATTTCAATGCAGTTGCATTGTTAACATTATTGGCATTTGTTAATTAATATTAGTGACCTTTTAGTGATAGTCAAACATGAATACACAAGGCGTCTCAAAATCATCGAAGACATCCCTTTGATGTTAAATTTTGTGATTAATCTAAAGTTGAGTTTTCTTTACTGTTCAGGCGTTGATAATTTTTGAATAGTACATATTTGAACGAGAACTTTTTGCAAATTAAATTTTAAGGAACCAAAGTTATATCCTGCATTTAATTTTAAACAATGTTAAAAAATATTAAGTACTTGAGACGCAATTACGAAGAATGTATAATGTAAAATATTAGAATGTTGTAATAAAAACGACAATTTGCGTCGATATTTTCATTTGAGGAAAAATCCAAGTTGAAAACAATCCATCGTTAAAAGAACATTCAACGTACGTGAGCATTTGTGATTTTGAGACGTAACATAATAAGAAAGATCAATCTGTAAGTCAATAAAAAAATACATTTACAATTAGTATCTGAACAACGAAGACACGACTTAAATACTGCTGTATATTTCTGTACTTACATCCTCTCTCACTTTGATCAGAGGTCTTATACGTCGTAGTAAAATTAATCTCAACAAGGGGGAAAATCTATAAAATTCGGTTTTGTATAATTATAAATCCAAATTGATGAAATCGTTTTTTTATCTTTTGTTTTTCTACAAATACGTAGTACTTTGCAAATTACACACATCTAACTGCATTGAAATGGAATAATATAATAATTCGTGGAATATATGCACGTGTCAAAATTTATACTTGTCAACTTATCGTCAAGCATTTTCATAACAATTTCTTCGTTTTTCTTTCACATCACTGAGTTAAATTTTATACTGCGTACGAATTTTGTGCACAGTCCTCGTTTGCAAAAAATTTCGCACATTCGTTCCGTTACACCGTATGTGTGTCTGTATGTGCATGCATGTGTATATATAATTTAATCTTCAAATGGAGTTAACTCACCAACATGTTACAAATAATTTAAAAATCTCGGAAGAAAATTGTGTAAAGTTTTTTCTAGGTATTATCAATGATTAATCATGTTCCAAATAGAAATTGCAATTATAAAAAGATATACAGGCAAATGACGGACAGTGCACAATGATTTTTTGTTATACAAGCACACTTTGTAACATTCGACGTATGCACAACTTGAGTAGAAAAAATATCTATAACAGATACATTTCATCTATCCCTCTTATATAAAACTATTACATAATATTAATTTTTATAATTTACGGCTTGTAGCAAGTCGGCAAGTCAATATTACTTCCCAAGAATATGTTTTCTTGCGAAAGTCTATCTTTCGTCTCGCTCAAATAAACTTTCATTCAATATTAAAGATGCATTTCCAGCGGCTACTAACAATTCGTACTCCGCACACAACTCGTAATTTGCGCAGAGTAGAAAAGACTTATATAATAATTTTATCTTTTTTTTGTCGGTCGGGGGTATTTTCGCAACGAAATACTCGAGGAGTCATTGGCATTTCATTGTTTATGCAGCGTCCAAGAACGGACATTCCTCCAATTGTACAATTTGAAGTTGAACGTTATATATAGTTTTCATAGCTGGATACAAAATTGCGCAGAACCAGCATGAAAGAGAATCATATTTTACAGAAACATTCGAAAGTAATAATATACAACTCGCCTGTCCATAACATCAAATTTTTTGATGCTGTTCAAAATAATTTGTACATAAATCGAATAAATGTACTTTATGTAATTTTCCCATTTCAGTTATGGACGTATGTAAATAATTAATATATTTTGGATCCATACGATTCACTTCTCTTAGCTCGGCCAATTCTAAATGTTTCACAGAAAACAAAATCACACAAGATTTGTTATGTACGAAATGTTAGTTCGAAGATTGAAACGCAATATACAATTGCAAGTAATATAGTCATATGAATTAATCATCAATCTGCATAATAGTAATAATACCATAGTCTATTAAAAGATAGTCTGGTATAAAAACTTAAGCGCTGTTAAAGTTGTGGCGTAATGTGTGATACAGTTTAATTTTCTCGGTAGAGCAGCAAAACTCGACACTTTCCTTGAATGAACGAAGTATAGAGATGCATGGCCAGACAATTGCCGTTAAATCAGACAGGGGCACAGCGATGCGAAGCATAGCATTTGTAATTTGTGCAATGTCCGGATGAAGATATCAGTATAGTTATACCGACTTTTTTTCACGTGATCTAATGTTTGAAAGTGTCTAGCCTTGGTTCTCTTAGATCATTAAATAAAAAGTATCGGAGTAGTGCACGATGCCGGTAAGTCATAGTGTGTGTTCAAATGACAATGTTAGGCCTTGGCATCGACTTCCATGGCGACATCTCCCACAGCTTTCTCGGCCTTCTTTTTCTTCTTCTTCGCCGATTTCGGATTTGCCGAAGAATATAAAAGGTTCTGCAATTTTCAATTGTGGATAAGATAACAGATTACAGCTCGACAGATAATAGCAATTGCAGTTAGCCATTGTTTTTCGCAATTTGACGCTCTACGAACCTTCAACTCAGGATCATGCACGACACAGTCAGATTGATACAATTCGAGGTCAAAGGGAATTCCCGTAATTTTATGAGGTCCGTTTGGCATCAAGAGTACCGTAAATTTGAATTGCGCCGCGTACTCGTTTGGTTTTTCATACAGCACCTGCGCAAAGAGACGCAATGAGAATTTTTGTCGCACCACGGGAAAGCTAATGGATAAATACGCGCAAGTGATAATCTTACTTGGAATGGCTCGATCAACCTATGATTTACACATTCAACAACAGCCATTTTTGCCTTCTTCTCGTCTTCGAAGGTACGTAGATTGAAAGGCATGAGACCATGCTTATGGGACACTTCTGAATAAAACATGCGAGACGCCTTCAGTTTCAACTGATATGTCTCCTCCGTCTTCTTGTATATCGTGACCCGGGTGTCCTGTTCCCTTCCTACTCCCTCGCCCGTGCTAACTAGTACATCCATTGCGTACACCTGAAATTAAACATGTACAATAAATTAAGGTTTTTAAACTCGGGTAACGTCCACGTCACCAATTTACAAACGACTATGTTCGAAAGTACGTTCGAAAGCTGACTATCGGCACCACTTAGCGCTGAAAACGTTATTCTATTTTTGTTGCTCATTATGCATTGAAGATAGAACGACGCTTTCAGCGCTAAGTAGCGCTGATAGTGAGCTCCCGTACGCACCCTATGTGATACCAATTTAAATGTACCTCGTGAGTCTCGAGGGTGTATTTTTCATGCTCCTTCTTTTGCGCATCGTTCGGATTCTGGATTATCGTTTTCTCCCCATCGATCTTAAACTGTTTTAACTGGTGACTTAGCATACCTTCGATCGGTTTACATTTATAGGCGTCACAGATCTTCTCTACGGTGCCAGTTATCGTGTAAGTCTGAAATGCACAGTTAAGCGTCAGGATGGAATTGCAAAATTTTACTTTCACAACTTAGGAAAAGGGGTGGAAATAGGTGCGCAAAAGTGTTTTCGATCTTACCTCTGTACCTGGTTTTAAAAGCCTTAGTGCAGCTTGAGAAGCGTAGTGTGCAGCTAAAACTACATCCGCTTTCCTGCCTGTCACTTTCTTCTCCGATGAAGATCCTATGATGATGGTGTGTGCTACTACAGCTATGAAACCATCGACATGTGCTCCAAGATCACTGTAATTATACAATTTCGTTAATTGCCAAAATTGTAATCGACGAGTAAAATATCCGATTTATTTGAATTAGTATCATTGTGCGTGCGTATTATTTGAAATATTAAATCTTTATTAAAGTGTTTATCAAATTTACAAAATATTTGAAATTAACGTTAACGTAACATTAGTTTTCCAGAAGAACTCATCGTAGGTGTGGCATTATTACTAGACACGTAAAACAGTGAAAGTAAATCTTGCAAAAAGGTCATAGACCAACTTCCACGGAGAAACTTACACTTTAACCATGTCTTCATCTTTGAGAATGAGATCAGGTTCACTGGCGATAGGAGAGAAATGGCAAATGCAATTGTTAACTGATATGCACGTTGGAAAAGCGATGCCCTTTTTAAGATCCTTCTCCTTTTTGAAGACCTTGCTAGTTTCTTCCGTGAGCGTTTTGTCGCCAAACTCGCATATTTCCCTTACGGAGGTCCCGACGACACATTTGTCTAGAACTTGCTTCAGTGCCCCTGCAAAATACACAGATGCATATCAACGTACTTCAATTACGAGAAGAATCAGGTGTCAGCGAGTTTTGATATCGACAGAAAACGCGAGAGAGCTAACTCGTGTACATTGAAGCGACGCAGCAGCGGTTTGCTCCAACTCTAAAGTATCTTCAGCGAGCAACAGTGTTAAACAACTGATCGAAGGTGGGTGATCTTCCAAGCTCCGACTAACTCGATC